TGATTGAAATGAGATGAAATCTTAGAAAGGTTTTGATTTGCATTTCTCTAATTTCTAGTGATGATGAACATTTTTTTCATATATTTGTTGATTGATTGTATATCATCTTCTGAGAAGTGTCTGTTTAGGTGGTCATCAGAATTTTGATAGAGATTGGATTGAATCTCTAGGTTACTTTTGAGTTTTATGAATATTTTCAACATCAAGTGTGTGGACAGATAAAAAATATTATCCCATTCTGCTTCCTCTAAGGACCCACATAGACTAAGGATGAAAAAGATATTCCATGTAAAAGGAAGCCAAAACAGAGTGGGGGTGGCTCAATATATTAAAAAAAATGGATTCTGAGTGGAAAAACCATAAAAAGAGAAAAAATTGCTCACTATATAATAATGATAAAGATATTAATTCATCAAGAATTTATATATAAATATATATGTACCCAGCATTAGATCACCAAAAATAGATAAAGTAGATATTAATATATTTGAAAGGAGAGACAGACTGCAGTACAACAGTAAGAGACTTCATTTCCATTTCCAACATTGGTCAGGTCATCCCAACAAGAAAGTCAGTAAGGAAACTTTAAACTTGTACCACACTCACACCAATTGGATGTAAGAAATATTTATATATCTTCCATACAACAGCAATAGAATATGAATTCTCCTCACATGTACACTCAACATTTTGTAGCATATATTATATTTTAGACCTCAAAATAAGTCTACACAAATTTAAGAATATTGAAATCATATTAAGTATTTTTTCTGAATACAGTGACATGAAACTAGAAATAAATACAGATTGAGCACCTTGAATCCAAATATTCTAAATCTAAAATGCCCAACAGCTGAAGCTTTTTGAGTGATTACATGATGTCATAAGAGGAAAATATCACACCTGATCTGATGTGACTTCTCAAAGTAAAAAAGTAGTTACACTAAAATAATATATAAATTCATATTTGGGGTATATATGTAAGGTGTATATGAAACATAAATACATTTTTATTTAGACTTGGATCACATTACCAAGATACCTTATCATGAATATCCAAATATTATAAAATACCCCCAAATATGAAATCATTAACTTATATTTCCAAGCATTTTGGATAAGGATATTCAACCTGTAACTGGATAAATGTTGAAAGACTCACATATATGTGAAAATTAAAATATACTCCTGAACATCCAATGAGTCAAAGAAGAATTAAATTTCAATTAGAAAAAAAATCACTTGAGACAAATAAAAATGAAAACAGAATGTACCATAACTTACTGGATGCAAAATCAGTCCTCAAAGGGAAGTTTGTAGCCATAAATGTCTAGAGGACAAAAGAATGATCTCAAGTAAGAAACCTAGTGTTACACTTGTAAGAACTAGAGAAAGAATAAAGTAGTACCAAAATTAGACAAAAGAAGGAAATAAATATCAGAGCAGAAAAAAAGACTAGAAAAATAATAGGAAATAAAAGGAAATCTAAAAGTTCATTGTTTGAAAAAATAAGTTGAAAAATCTTTAGATAAACTAACAAAGAAAATTAAGAGCCAAACAAAAATAAAAAATAAAAAATGTGGAGCTATTAAAACTAATACCACAGAAATACAAATAACCATAAAGACTATTATGAACAACTATATACAAATCAGATAATCTAGAAGAATGCATGAATTTCTAGAAGCATACAATATATCAAGGCTGTACCAGAAAGGAATAGAAAATTTGAACAAACTAATAATGTGTACAAAGTCTGTCATCAAAAAAAAAAAAAAGCTCAGGTTCTTATGGGTTCACTGTTGATTGCTACCAAAGTGTTAAAAAGAAGTTAATTGAATAAATTGAAAGCTATTCCATGTCCATGGATTGGCTCATTAATCCTCTTCAGACTCTTCTAAAACAATGGAGTACAATCGAACTCAACTCAAGAAGTCACAATACTCTGATACCAAAGCCAGACAAGGATACTACAAGAAAAGGAAACTACAGACCAGTATTCCTGATGATCATAGATGCAAAATCATTAAACAAATTCTAGTGAATTGAACTCCACAGCATATTCAAAGATCATTCACTATCATTGTGAAACATTTATTCCTGTAATGCAAGGATAGTATAGAACACCTAAATCAATAAATGAGATGGAGAAGTTAGTAAAAAGAAGGTAAAAATGCCACATAATCACCTCAAAAGATATAGAAAATGCATTTGACACAATTCAATATACATATGTAAAAAACCTTTGAAAAATGTATATAGAAGAAATGTACCTCAACAGAATACTGTATTTTGCAAGCCCACAGCTAATATCATAATCAACAATGGAAAGTTGGATGCTTCTTCTCTAAGATCAGGAACAAAACATGATTTCCTTCTTTCTCACTTTCATTCAGCGTAATACTGGAAGATCTTGCTGGGGCAATTAGGCAAGAAAAAGAAATAAAACACATCTCTATAGGAAAGGAAGAAGTGAAATTGTCTGTTTCTGATGACATGATCTTATATAGAGAAACCCCTAAAGACTCTACTCAAAAACATTTAAAATTTTTATAAAAGTTAACACAGATTTAAAAAAAATCCAGTGAAGCTGCAAGTCCCAAAAACAACATATGAAAGTACTTAGTGTTTCTATACCCTAACAATGAACTATTTGAGAAATTATGAAACCAATTTCATTTAAAATAACATAAAAATTAAGATACTTAAAAGTATATTTAATCATGGATATCAAAGAGCTACACATTGTAAACAATAAAACACTGATGACAGAAATTGAAGAAGACACAATAAATTAAAAGCTATTCCGTGTCCATGGATTGGCTCATTCTCTATCTCCTGCTCCCATTCTCAAAATTGCTTTTCTATTATTTTTTCCAAGTTAATTGTTTTTGTTCTTATACTTATGATTTTTTTAAAGTAGAGTAGTTTTTTCCCCTATAGGCAATATTTGGCAGTGTATGGAAGAATTTTTTCTTCTCACAACTTAGTGCTGGTTGTACTACTAGCATGTAGTGGGCATAGGCCAAGGCTGCTGCTAAACACACTACAATGTATGGAAGCCCCTGTTGACAGCCACAGCCAAAGAGGCCCCAGCAAACTTCCAGCTGCCAGCAAACTTCAGCTGCCAGCTGATGATTGGCTCACAGCGGCCCCAGCAACATCTAGCTGATTGGCTCCTACATGGAGCTGCTCATTGGGGGACTTCTTTGGCTCCGCCCACGCGACCCAGCCAATCGGCCTCAAGAACAGGAGGATTGTGGGAGGTAGAGGTTGGTGTGGGTGAGAGGCTTGTGGAAGCCGGTGGTGGCAGTTGGGCTCTGAAGTTTTTTTCCTGAGGAGCTGTTTTGTTTGGCACTTGTAGTTCTAAAAATAAAGTTAGTTTCTTTTGACAAGTGGCTCCTGAATTGTGCCCAGCCAGACTGCGGCAAGCCCCCTCTAACAATCATCTAGTCTGGAGTATCCTGAGTTCTTCAGATGAGAAACTATTGCCTTGAAGTAACATACCTTTTTCTCAATATACCTGCAAAGTGTGGAAAAGACAAAGGAAATCAGAAATGATGGTCAATTGTTTCAAGGAACTCAGATCACTGAGATATGTTTGGAAAAAGATTACCAAATTCTCAAGTTAGGTTGCCTACTCTTCCAGTTGTAGTAATTTCTTGTTGGTTGGGAACCAGCTGCAAAAAAACCCAAAACAAAACAAACAAAATAACCCCTCTTACCTAGGTCAACATTCTTTACCATTATATATTAAGCATCTTGCAGTATTATATACTAGATCACTAATTTGTTCTTATTATTTGCATTAAAAGTTTCACTGATTTTGCCTATTCATCATTAATTTTTTGTCATTTTTGTCAGTTTAAAATGGCCAGTGGATCTACCTTTGCCTGAAAGACAGACTTCATTGCTCTTAAGATTGTGAGACATTGAAAGGTTTTATATTTTGATTGTGGCATGGCTCTAATTGTACTAATCTAGCTAGAACTCAGTTCTTGCCTTAATTTTGCCTTGCTTAAACATAAAGCTATTGTCACTTGTACTATATTATTTATACAGTGTGGTAAATGTCACCTTCCCCTAAGGTGACTTTGAACTTGTAGGAATTCTTTGGTTTGATTAAAATACAATATGTGGGGTGTCAAGTATTTCCATTCTATAAAGATAGACAGGAATAATTTCACAGAAATAGATGGCTGTAAATCCTTATATGTGGAACAGATCTCAATTTCAGAAATGGACAGAATCCAGGTGGTACTTGAAGGGGAATTGTGTAGACATGTGCTTTATCTTGGCTTTTTTTTTTTTTTTTTTTAAGAAAATTCAGAAAACTAAACAAACCAAAAATGTGACAGGCTCTAAAATGATCTCATGGGAGATGAAGTCTCAAAAGTTCATTGTAACTAAAAGAAGAACTTCCAGATTCAGAAACCAAAACGGGGAGAACCATAGACAAACCTGGAAAGAATTGTTTTCTATTTCAAATCTATGTAGTGTCATAGCTTCCCTTCTCTCTTCACTGTGTAGGTCTCTTATATTATTTTTGAAATATTAGGGACAGATATTGAAAAGATAGGACAGGAGTTTATAAAATTTCCTGTATAAATTTTAAGATGTATATACTTAACCAAATACAGTTTTTTTAAAATTTTAATTCCTTTGTGTTATAGGATAATTTATCTATATATTTAAAGTGACCGAGTCTCTCATTGTAGTATATCAAGAAAGGGAAAATGTGAATGTGCTTGAGAAACCACAATAAGCCAAGCAGAACATCAGAACCTTAGATTTAATAGATAAGTATTGTGAATGCATTGTTTTAGTCAACTTTAATTTATAATACCATGAAACATGTTAAGGGAATTTAGATTTCTCAAAGGGTTGAATTGCTGTGGCGTGTGTACCCTGCTTTGTTTTAATATTCATAACTGAATTTCATGAAATAGTTTTGACTTTTAGATTTTAAGAAATTAATCTCTAATTTTATTTTTTTTCAGTAAATATCACTTCTGCCAGGCAATTAACCGGATGTAGTCGCTTCAGCCATATTTTTCCTTCATCTGCTTACCAGCACATTAAGATGCATAAGAGAATTCTGGGACACCTATCTTCAGTCTACTGTGTAGCATTTGACCGAAGTGGGAGAAGAATTTTTACAGTGAGTTTAAAATTTATGATATGAAATTGTTACATACTTATAAGAATTGAAGATAGATTTCATGGCATTGCATTGTGCTTTGTAAGGAGTTCATCCTTTTTGGACCTGAGAATGCAAGAAAAGATGAGTAGGAATTTAATTTTTTTCCTTGTTTTATATAAATAAAGGGTGAATTATAATGTTCATTATCTGTTGGAGATTTAATTTAAAAAATAATTCTTCAGAATATATTATATTCTAGGAGTGGTTAATCTATGGAAAATGAGTGTATTCATTCCATTTTAGCAAATATTTATTTAAATGCATTTTCTGTGTGTCACAGTGTAATTGCTGACAGTTTTGCTTAAATAATGATTCCATCATCCTTGTGACTGAGTAGCTGAACTGCACAGTTAATGAAGAGTAGTAGCTGGGCATGTTGGCACACTATTCTTATCTCAGTGACCCAGGAGGCAGAAACAGGAAGATTGCAAGTTCAAAGTCAACTTCAGCAACTTAGCAAGGCCCTGTGCAACTTAGGGAGACCCTGCCTCAAAAAAAACTTAGGGAGACCCTGCCAGGAAAGTGGCATCCTGGCTCTGTGGTTAAGGGCTCCTAGGTTCAATTCCTGCTACCAGAAACAAAGAGTCATTATTTTATATCTTTCTTTTACTACTAGTTATTTTTAAAATTGAATTTTTATTAACCAAGTCATACTGTTTGCATCTCTAAGAAATATTAATTTTATTGCTTCCTTACTGTTGTAACATAGGGGTGCATTTAATAGCATAATCTTCTTTTTCTACTTATAGAAGAGGAAGTGGTTTGGATTTATAGTTTGAGAAATTATGACTCCTGAGATTTCATTTCACACTTTTCTTTCTTTGACTTCATGTCTTCAAGTATATCACCTAAATATTTGGATGTTAATGATCACACTGAGGATGGTGAATACCATCTTTTAATAGATTATTAAGTATCTTACCTGCCACAGTAGAATAAAATTGCTTTTTAATACATTTAAAGCTCTTGAAATAATAGGAAGTTTGACATTCTGTTTTCACTGAAGATTATTAATGGCCTCCGGTTTCCTGAGAAATGAGGGAGACTTTAAGTTGAATTTACAAGTATTTGTAGAAAAAATATTCAAGCAATTAAGAAAAAAGGATGTTAGATGTAAGGAAAAAATAAGTAAGCAATACTTAATGACAAATCATTTACAAGTAAGTTTAAAATATTTTGAGTTCTGAGGAGTTTTGTATAGGTACCAATGCCAAATTGGACAATGCTTTATCAGCTTATCATTTGGATATAGTTTGTATTTGATACTAGATCTGAGTTATAGAGAGTAGACTCAGAAGCAAAGGTTTACAAATAACTTAAAAATATCGCTTTGTCTTTTAGTATTTTTAGGGGAGTGGATGGCAAATTTTGGCTTCATTATTAATCTTCTGTCCTTTTGTGTTACTATAGGGTTCAGATGACTGTTTGGTGAAAATTTGGGCTACAGATGATGGACGTCTCCTTGCTACACTTCGAGGGCACTCTGCCGAAATTTCTGACATGGCTGTTAACTATGAAAATACTCTTATTGCCGCAGGCAGCTGTGATAAAGTTGTAAGAGTATGGTGTCTTCGAACATGTGCACCAGTTGCTGTCCTGCAGGGGCATTCAGCTTCTATTACTTCCATACAGGTAAGAAAAATGATCTCTCTAAAGTATGTAATGCAGATGAGAATTCTCTCATTTTTATTACATTGTATGGATAATAACACAAAGACTGGCATCAGAAAATTACCCCCACAAGGGTTTTTTTGTTCCTACCCTGAATACAGGTTGGTTAAAAGTTCCCTTTTCATATAAATCTATTCTCTTTAGAAACAAATAAAAAGATGATTGAAAAGATTTTTCAAATATAGTGTGACATGTTTTATTTATGTCACTTGTATTTTTGAAGAAAGGAGTAAATGTTTTCTAAAGTGCACTAAAACCTGTTACCATATAAACAGGTTTTAACTAGAATATTGGCATGCTTTGTTCTAATATTTAATGCAAAATGTTTGACAATCAAATTTAACATGTGTGTTGTCTAATCTTGGGCAAATTTTTATTTTGTAGTTTCAGTGATTTCTTGTTTCAATTATATATTTGCAATAAAATACATTGGCATCTTTTAAATATTTGTCCATATGTTATTTTTACTAGATATTGATATTCAAAGGCCTGGATGTCCCAAAAGACCTTTTATTTAACAGAACTAACAAAGTTTCAGTCCTGTCTACTTGTGTTGACAGCAAAACAGAAGTCCTTCTGAAAGTTTTACACTCTGGTTTAAGATGCCACTGTTGAAGATCATTACTCCCATTTTTGGGTGTTATTTTAATAATATATCACCTTTTATAGGGAATTAACAATGATTGGCTTTAGTGTGTAATGGGTTTGAAATTTTTCTTTTTAAAATTTTGATTAGTTGAAATTATTTAATGGATTTTAATTTAAGGTTATCTGCTCCATGTGTTCCCACCATCATGTCTGACTTGATTATTGGACATACTTTCATGTAACATAAAATGACTATTTGATTATATTGAAAATATTTATGATAGTGTTTAATTTTTTTCATAATTTCACTTGATTCTTTTTTCGCATTTTGTTTACAAGTTGGGGTACCTTGTAAATCTATGTGCCCCTTCGCTGACTCACTCTTTCCCTTAGTGATCTCATATAGTCTTATGGCTTTGAACTGCATCTGTAAACTTATAACTCTTAAACATATCCCGATCTTTGAACTAACTGTCTTTTAGCTCTTATACTTGTTTATTCAGCTACATACTTGGCATCATCACATGGATATCTTTTAGGCATCTGAAACAACATATTCAAATTAAACTCATCTTCCTTCCTCAGACCTATTTCTCTTCAAACTTTTCCCATCTGTATTAGCTTTCTGTCACTATAAAATGCCAGAAGAAGATTACTTTTGAAGAAAAGATGATTTATTTACCTTGCAATTTTGAATGTTATGTCCTAATGGTATAGTATAGGCTTGGCAATTATCCTTTGGCTGTACTACTTCACAGTGTAAATAGCAAAGGCAGGAGCATGCTAGAGCAAGCAATCCCAACATGGTGGAGACATTGTGTGTAAGAGATGACATCATCCAAAAGGAAGTCAGAAAGACAGACTGGTGTCCTATAGTTCCTTGAGGGTACACACTCAAAGACCCTCTAAGTACTTCCCATTCGGCTATACCTTCCAATAGAATCACCCTGAGTATTAATCCTTTAACATGGTCTTCGAGGAGACATTCAACATCAAACCATAGCAACATCTAAACACATGACAATTTCATGCTTCTAATTTTTCAGGGTACTCATCCCTGACTTTTCACTCAGTGTCCACTTACTAGCTAATCATGTTGGCTAACCTTTAAAATATATATAGAATCTTGCAAATTTTCATGACTTTTATCAGTAGTGACCTATTTTAAGACACTGTCATCCGTGGCCTAGATTTTTTTCTCATTAAAAAAATTATTTATGTGTTCTAAAGAGTTACACATGACAGTAGAATGCTTTTTGATTCATTGTACACAAATAGAGCACACTTTTTCACTTTTCTGATTGTATACAAAGTAGGTCACACCATTGTGTCCTAGATTTTTAAACTAAACTTCTAACTGATCTTGTTTCTTTTCTTCCCTTTTCCCTGCCCTAGTATAGCCTCTACAGAGCATCCAGTTGCTTTTAAAATGGAAGTTAAATCATATCACTGGCAATGAGAACCCTCAACCACTTCTAGTCTTAGAATTAAAGTCAGTCTACAGTAAACCTTGATGTCCTACCTTCTAAGCCAGCTCCCTCTCTTTGACCTCATCTTCTAACACTTGATTTTTTTTTCTCACTCTGGTTTAGCTGCCATCTTCTCTAATTTTTTGAATATTCCAGGTCTTTGCTTTTGCTATTTCCATCTCTGGAATTGTCTTCCCCGAATATTCACATGCTTTGTTTTCTTAATTTTTAAGTAATTTATGTAAATGTCACCTTCTCATGGAGACCTCTGACCACTTTGCAATTGTAACCCACAAGTACTCTATTATCTCATCTTTTTTGTTTCATTTTTCTCCATAGTAAAGATTACTATTTGGCATTCTATACATTTTTTTCATTACTTCTTTATTAACAGTTTACATGAATTTATAGTCTATTATCTTTCCAGTTTCTCTTCTATTACTTTTAAACACAATAAAATGATCTGCTAATAGTGTTTAGCCTTGAATGGTAAAATTATAAGTTAATTTATTGAGTTTCTTATTTTTTCTACAATTGGTATGTATTTGTAATCCAGAATATACATTTCTTAAACAACCTCTAATATAATTTCTTATTTTAAATGTTTTCATTAAGGAATATTAGTGGGTCAGATGCCCATTGTGATGGATAAGTTAAATGTAATGGAGGTAATACAGGTTTTAGTGAGTGTTTTTTTCAAAATTAATAAAATTATATACTATTTTATTGTTAATTTTATCATTCCTAGAGATCAAAGATTGCTGATTTAGAGGCCAGATGGTAAATACCTTAGATTTAGAGACCATGCAATCTCTGTCACAGTTACTTAACTCTAATTTTATAGTGCAAAAGCAACCATATACACAATATAAAGTGACCATGTTCCAATAAAACCTCATTTACAGAAGGAGTCTAAAAGCTGGATTTGGTATGTGAGTCATAGTTGGTGGACTTTTGCTATAGATTATAAATTAAGTTTTCTAGTGAAAGCTTTTCTATTTTAGGAAGGAAAATATGTATAGACACTCTCAGAGTCCTTATTTCTTTACTGTACTTCAGTTATTAATGGATAATTTTTACTGATAATTTTTTGTTTTAATTCAATTTATTTTTTAAACTTTTATTTGTTTTTTCAGTTATACATGAAAAAAGTATTTTGACAAATATGTTATGAATAATTTTGTTTGTATTTAACGCTGAAGTCTTTAGAGGTTCTGTGCTTATAAATAAGAAAACTAAGTGATTTAATATTTATAATGATAATTTTCTTTTGATTTGATTTCAAAATGTATTTCAATCCTATGTATCTTGATCTGTAAATGTAATCTCAATCTCAAATGGAAATTATTTATTATCTCTATTTGGGATTTTAAAAACTCACAGGAATCCTAGATATTCTGGTCTGATTTTCAGATTTATTATTGTGTCTTAGACACCAAGAGCCTGGTGGCCCACCCTTCTCTAAGATTTTCTTGTTTGAGCATGTAAAATACTGATGGTCAAAGCCTGAGAAGCTATATGATAAAGGACATGGTTTTTTCAGCATAATAATAGTTCTTTAAAAATGGTAGCTTACCTATATTTTTTCTTAGTCTATTTTTCCACAATGATTGAACAAAGATTTGATGTATTTAGTTTATACATGAATACAATTGAAAATGGTTTAAATTTTAAAAGATCAAAATATACTTCATTGAAGTTGGTCTTTAAGATATTAAATCTCAAATACTTAAATATTAAATTTTCTAATCATAGTTTTTTGGTATATTTCTGATGTTCTATCCATAACTCTAAAATTCCACAGTTGTTTTTACATAAAAAAATACGTAGCACATTTTAATGGTTTAACTAGTAATGACCTCATGAGTATTCTCCATTAAAAGCTATTAAAATATTATTATTGGAGTATTATGTTAAATGAGCCCAAGGTAGTTATTTTTTTAGGACCAAAGTATTTTATCCTAATGTCAACTACCCTTTTATTTTATTTTTTGGTATTTTACATTTTTAAAAGTTATTTATTATTCTAGGAAATTTAATGTGTTGAAACTGAAATTCTTAAAAGAATTTAGTTAATTACATTATTAAAAAGTGATTATAATCTGAAAACATGCTTTGATTGAAATTATTTTGAACATAGAAACTTTATATTTGAATCAGATTTTTCTTTTAAAGTTTTGTCCATCAACTAAAGGCACAACCAGATACCTCACTTCTACTGGTGCTGATGGAACAATCTGTTTTTGGCAATGGCATGTAAAAACAATGAAGTTTAGGTAAGTTTAAAAGAATTTTACAAATGTTGTGAAAATTTAAACATGTTTATTTTATTTACTACTGTATTCTTAATAGTCCAAATATTTAAAGATGTCATATGTGTGTGTTTTTATTAATATCCATACCTATAATAATTGATGGTTAGAGATTTTAAGAGTAAAATTTAATGAAGTCAATGTTGAAGCGACTATTTAATTCACATGTACAATTTTGGTAAGGAGCCTCATTTCTTGATAAGAAGATGTACTAATAACATGATAATATGTTAACAAGTATAAATAATGCTGATCATAAATTATATTTCTAAGATTTATTTATTTATTTAGGTACTTGAGACTGAACTCAGAGGCACTCTAACATTGAGCCACATCCCCAGCCCAATTTTGTGTTTTATTTATAGACAGGGTCTCACTGAGTTGTTTAGAGCTTCACTTTTGCTGAGGCTGGCTTTGAACTTGCGATCCTCCTTCCTCAGCCTCCTGAGCCACTGGAATTACAGATGTGAGCCACCACGCCTGGAAAGATTTATTTAATTTTAAACTTAATGATCGTACTTACTGGCCATTTCCCTTTAGTTTTCCTCTATAATATTGTCACTAAATAAATCAATATCCAGCAATGTGTTAAGCTTCTTGTCCATTTATCCAGGCACAGTGGCATGCATCTATAAGCAGAGGTGTGGTAGGAGGATCCTTTAAGTCCAGGAATCTGAGGTCAGCTGGGCAACATAGTAAGAACGTAATCTCAAACAAAAAACAAAATAAAACAGAAAACAACTCTACAAAGATTCTTGCCTATTAAATGAACAAGATAAACATTTTTTAAAAATCCTCCTGTTTCCTTCAGAGATCGCCCAGTGAAATTTACTGAGAGATCAAGACCTGGAGTTCAGATATCGTGTTCATCTTTCAGTTCTGGTATGTATAAAAATTTTAAGTCTTGAAATCTGAAAATATTAAATGATCTACTTGTAAAATGTGTTTTTAACTTTATGAAGAAAAATTTATGTACTTGATGTTAAAGGAAGCATTCCAACAATATAAACCATACACTAGTTGAATCTTTTTTGACTCTGATTAACATGTGATAATGTTTGAGTTATTATTTTTTTCATAATTTAATAATACATTTTATATAAGGTAGCAATAATTGGATAAAATGCAATCCTTGCTCCAAATATCCATTAGCAAAATGTGTGGTGTCTTTCCACATTTAATATAAAAATTTTGCCCTGACTTTTACAGAAACCATCATCATTGTGACACAGTGCTTCTTATATTGCAAGGAATTCTATACTTGCTAACCTTTTATCCCTTATTTTTTGTTGTGGTAAAATATACATGACCTCAAATTTATTGCAACCATTTGTAAGTGTACAGTTGCCTTAGGTGTATTTACCTTGTTCTGCATCCATTACTGCCATTAATATCTAGAACTTTTTCATCGTATTGAAGGCAGTTCAGTTTTATACTCAACTAGTAAAATTTTTCTAAAGAGAATTATAACTAGATTATCTTAAATAATTTTGAATGTTATGCTTTTGCATAAAGTAGAAAGAACTTTAATATTTGTAGTCCATAATCCTGTATTTATAGTTGAATTTTGTTGGGTGAATGATATGGGCATTTCAAAAATTTCTCTTGTTTTTCTTTGATTTTATTTCTTTATCTCTAAAATATTAGTGTGCTCTTAATTATTCGAAGATAACCTTGTGTTTCTTGAAGCCCTTCTAAAAATAATGATGTAGCTTACAAGTAAGGAAGCAATCAGAGAATTTTAAAAGCTCCTTGGAATTTTTTTTTTTTTTTTTAAATCTTCCAGGTGGAATGTTCATTACAACAGGTAGCACTGACCATGTGATTAGAATATACTATTTGGGTTCTGAGATCCCTGAGAAAATTGCTGAGTTAGAATCACATACGGTAAGAACAAAATATGAAACTTAAATATGTTTTGTTTTATATTTTAAAACCTCTGGAAAACTTTATTTTCTCTTTTCAGATCAGTCTCTTTTATAATGAAGATAAGTGTGAAATTCTGAATTTATTATAGTTGTAGTACTCAATATGGGCTCGATTTAACTGTATATCATAAGAAAAGAACTACAATATGTATATTTTGTATACACAAACAGTGCACTAATAGTTTGTGAAAATCCTGTTTTTTAACCTGTTTTTATTAGACATGCAAGGTGCTTATTACTTAAAATCTGTAGTTTTAATAATGACATATTAATCATGTCTTAGTGAAAGTCATCTTTTCTCTGTGCATGGTGGTGCATGCCTGTAATCCCAGGGGCTTGGGAGGGTGAAGAAGGAGGATCAAGAGTTCAAAGCCAGCTATATCAATTTAGTGAGGCCCAAGCAACTTAGTGATACCCTGTCACAAAACAACAACAACAACAACAACAAAAAAAAACTGGGGATGTGTCCCAGTGGTTAAGTGCCCCTAGGTTCAATCCCTGGTTACCTCCCATTTTTTTTTTAATGAACTTAGTAGTATGATCATTTTTAGAATGTCATGAAAGACTTGTGGAATCTAATCCTCCTTAGCAACAATTGTCTTAAATATAGAAAATCAGGTATATTTTGTAGGTAAAAGCTGTTGGTGGCTGGTACTTGTCCTCTTAGTCTCCACCAACTCTCTAGTGGCTTTTTTAGAAAGTGTTGAACTATTGTTATTTAGTTATATCCACGTATACCTTTCTTACATTTCTTCGTTCTCTATTTTTCCCCTTACTACTTCAAATAATTGTTTACTGTGAAGTATGGGGATATTTCTGTTTCAGCTCACAATATATTTCATGTGCCTCACTTTAGAAACTGTTTACTAAGCAATTAAAAGCTTTCAGCTTTCCAAGTGTTAATGTTACTACTCTTGTTACTGTTGACATCTCATTTGGAATAGTATTAGTGTATATCAATAAACACATAAGTTCTCTAAAAGGTGATTTAAAAATATCTTGCAACTTGCAAAATCAATTGTTCCTGAAATTTGTGGTACGAGAGATTCCTGTTAGAAACCAAGGACAGCAGAATAAAATAGACATTATTATTGCTGTGGGTATATATGTGATTGCATGAGCAATGTAATTCTGCAACCTGTACACTCAGAAAAATGAGAAATTATGTCCCATCTGATTCAAATCTAATAAATAAATAAATAAATAAATAAATAAATAAATAAATAAATAAATAAATGAAATTACGATTAAAAAAAAGAAACCTCCTCTCGGGAGCTTTTAGAAATAATTTCTTGCTTTTTGTCCTATCATAATTGAATATCTCCCTTATGAAGATATACTGAATCCAGCTGAACTCTTACCTTGTTTTCACTTATTCCTAGATACAAAATTCCTGAAATATTATTTAAATTTTGAAAGAAAAACGTAGGAAACACTGATGGTCTCTGAGACATCAATAGAAGAAATCTCTGCTAGAACATGATAAGAAGATATCTTTACCGTTATTACCAAAGTAGGGTATATATACAAGTGTGCTGAAGTATATTGAAAGCTAGGAGAGGAGAGAATAAATGAATGGGCAAGACTTGAGGGGTATAATAATGAGGAAATTTTGATTTAATAGTTTGATTTGCAGGAGCCCAGATAAGAAGAAAAATATGAAAAGTTAAATACACACTGTTGAAATCAGTGATGGATGTTAGCCATAAAATATTCTTTCAGAATATTTCAAACAAAGTATTGTACCTGCCAGTAAGAATTCAGAATCTATCAGATAAATACAACAGTGAAATCACAAAACAATATAAATCAGGAGTACTTCATTATATATGAAGACTATAATTTTTTTTAAATTAAAATACTTAAATAAAAAGATAGTTGACATTTTCTTTTAATTTAAAATTAGATTGTGAAAATATGTAATATTTGAAGATGCACTGTAGCTTTTTTATCAAGGACTAAAGTGAAGGAAATACCAAGTATTTGCTTATACTTTGCATTGTAAAATAATTAAATAAGCCACATGGGAATGAGAAAGTGATTAATTTTTATTCTGAAATTGAAAAGAATTAAGTGGGAAATTTCATCTAGCTATTATTCAGTCAGATTAATATTCTGTCTTTTACAGACCATAGGAAAGGAACACTCAGCACTATATATCTCTTTTTTTAAAAAAACATTTATTTAGTTGTAGATGAACATACAGTATCTTTATTTATTTTTTTTGTGGTTCTGAGGATTGAACCCAGTGCCTCACACATTCATGGCAACCACTTTACCATGGAGCTACAGTCCCAGCTATATCTCTTGATATATGGTTCATAAAGAAGTTTTCAAATTGCTGCCACCTTAATACATTGTTTTATGCTTCATTAATTAATTTTTTTTCTTTTTAGAAAAGTAGCTTATTTTTAAAGGAAATTATACCATTACAAACTACTCCATTATGCCTTTTTTCACATTTGAATATGAAGGGAGGTATACATTGTCTATTTTAAAAGTTTATTTTAACCAAAAATCTGTTCTTTTTTTATCTTAGGACAAAGTTGTTGCAGTTCAGTTCTGTAACAATGGAGACAGGTAATTATGTAGTATGTATTTGTGTAAAGAAATGTTTGACATGTTTTTCTACTAATCCCTGGGAACCATCTACCTCTGCTGTAGATGTATTATTTCCATCCCATAACATAGATTTAAAAAAACTTTGTATGTCCTTAATGGTGTTCAACACATCCCTTCCTGATTCTCAATCAAATAGTCACCATAGTCTATAAGTTCTTCTTTTCTGAGTGATTTCTTTTCTTATTTTGCTCTTTCCACTTCTTTTGGCAACAATCTTCCTATCTTAGTCAAGAATTGTGTTATTTCACCTGCCCATCTCTTCCTGTACAATATAGTTCTTTAGAAATCCTTAGTGTTTCCTTCTCTCTTGCCTGTGGAATAGAAATCAAATGTCGCCCAACATTCAGAGCTCCCTAAAACTTTTTTTAGATTTATCTTTGATTCCTGATCTACTATTCCCCATATGAATCCCTATATTAAGCCTAATTGACTTTATGCACTATTCCTGACATGTCCTATGTAAATTATTTTATCCGTTCCTTTGCTTACACTTTTCCATCATTCCTAACCCCAAATGTCATTCCCTGCATTCCTCTGACCTTTCCTTTTTTCTATCCTACATTTGTTCCTTCTCTATCCCCCTATTTTCCTATTTTCTCTTTTCTATCCCTTCTTTTGATTGATCTAAATCTTATCTCCTTTTTAAGGTTCATGTCCTACCTGAAAGCCTTTTCTGAGTGTTCCAGCCTTTTAATTTATCTTGACTTCCTCTGAACATCTATATCATTTGTTGCCTTTGTTTTTCATGATATATATATTCCTATGTCTGTAAACTCAGAAATTCTATACAGGTATCTGTGAACCCTCTATATTGTCTGGTCCCGTAAAAGTGATAAGTCTTTCCTGGTCTAAAATTTAACCTGGAATGGATTTAAAATTTTAATCTCTTATCATAAACGTATATCTATGTATGTCTGTTAGGACTTTATATGGCTGACCACAGTTTATTTTTAAATATTTTGAACAGTAGGTGATTACCATGGTGAATTTGTACAAGTTTGTTAAATCCAAGAGTAAATAATTATGATCCTCAAAGTGATGTCTACATTAGGAATGATAAAAGCTTTAAGTAAATTTTAAGGTTAACTTACTGAGTTACAGCCTTTAAGATATATACACCTAGTATTCTTCCATGCTAAAATAACCTGAAATTTTATTTTCTTGCTTTTGTTTTCAATGAAAACACATTATTTTGTCTTAATTATTTCTGTGGCACATATTAAAAGATGTCCAATTTAAACTAAGTATAACAGTATCCATAGAATAATATATGCTTATATATATGAGTATGAAGGGAGACTTCTGAATTGCTTTTTCAATGATAGCACAACTCTAGTATCTAAGTCTGCTGAGCTTTGTGCAAATGAGAAAACTGGGCCTGAATAGACAAGCTTATAGAGGATAAAATAACCCTAAATGCTTTAGACTTCATGATAAATTTCATTTATAGTGAAAACATTTTCTGAAAATAACTTCTTGTGCTTATTTGTAAATATGTCTTTAAAGAGCTTTATTTTGAGTAAGCAAAAAATAAAAATACCTAGTAAATACATAAAATTTTACATATGTGTAAATACATGTGGGGCATGCAGAATATGTAATGTATGTATACAATATATGAAAATAAAAATATTAGTATTTGATTTCTTTATGAGGTAGGAATATATGTGGTTTTACTTTCGTTCATGCTCAAAATTCTTACTAGTTAAAGGTAAATAATAAATAATTATTATAAAGGTATATTATTTATAAAGGTAAATAAAAAATAATTCATTTAAAATATTTCCAGTTTTACTAATAGTCAAAGAAATGAAAATTAAAATAACAATTATTTCCTCCAGAATAAACAGATAATGCAAAATCATAATATCCATCATGGCTATAGGTTTTTACAAAGAGTGCTTTCCTTGCCAGGTGTGGTGGTACACACCTGTAGTCCCATCAACTTGGGATGTTGAGGCAGGAGGATCACAATTTTGAGGTCAGCCTCAGCAACTTAGGGAGGCCCTAAGCAATTTAGTAAGACCTTGTTTCAAAATAAAATATGAAAGGGGCTGGGGATATGACCCAATGCTTAAGTACCTCTGGGTTTAATCTCTAGTAATCCCACCCCCTCAAAAAGTTACTTTCCTCAGGTTTTCATGAGAGTATGAATTGTTTCAATAAATAATTAAAAAAAAACTATTAGTGAAATAGTGTGGTAGTATGTATCAAAAGCTTTAAAAATGTTCCTTTTCAACTTAGCACACATATTTATAGGGTTGTACAAAGACATGTAGAGATGTTCTTTACAGTATTAATTGTCATGTTGAAGATGGGAAATGATATAATATTAATCATTAGAAGATTTATTAGATAAATTTTGATAATATTTATATAGTTAAGCACTTATTAAAAGTGATGATAGTTTTATACTTGTCAACATAGAAATAAATCTACAAAATTCAGTTAACCTAGGGAAAAACATGTAGTGAATTTTTGTTTCATGTAAGGGAAAATATATAAGTATATATTCATGTATTTAATAAAGTCTAAAAGAATAGATACTAAAGTGTTAACAGTAACAAAATTGTAGGTGAATAAATATATTATTTTAAAATAGCATTTTTATTTGAGGTATAATTCACATAATACAGAATTTAATGCTATTAGTATATTTATAGTGTTGTGTAACAATTAGTACAGTTAATTTTTTGAACATTTTCATTGTCCTTTAAAGAAAATCCATTCTGTTTAGCTATCAACCCCAAATCTCCATTCCTTTTTCAACATTTCTGAGCATGCATTAATCTACTTTTCATTTCTCTTTATTTGCCTATTCAGAATTAATTCTTGTTGCAATGTATATTATTATTTTCATTCTTTTGCATTACTGAGTAATATTCCATTGTATGAATATATGCCATATACTGTTTACCAATTTGAGCCTCTGATGGCCATTTGAGGTGCTTCTACTTTTGACTTATTATGAATAATGTGTCCATGAGTATGCATGTGCATGTTTTTTCTGTGGAATTATGTTTTTATTACTTTTTCAAAATATAACTGAGTAGGATTGCTGGGTCACATGGTAACTTTGTTTAGCATTTATAGAAACTGCCAGGGCTGGGGATGTGGTTCAAGTGGTAGCACGCTCGCCTGGCATGTGCAGGGTGCTGGGTTCGATCCTCAGTACCACATAAAAATAAAGATGTTGTGTCCACCGAAAACTAAAAAATAAATATTAAAAATTCTCTCTCTCTCTCTCTCTCTCTCTCTCTCTTAAAATAAAAAAAAAGAAACTACCAAACTGTTTTCCAAAGTGACTGTGCCACCATTTTATATTCCCCCTAGTAGTGTATGAAGGTGGATATTTTCTAATAAAAAAAATGATTCTAATTTTGGAGAAAAGTAACAAGACTTTTAACTTTTTCTTTCCAGTTTAAGATTTGTTAGTGGAAGTAGAGATGGAACAGCAAGAATATGGCAATATCAACAACAAGAATGGAAGAGTATAGTGCTAGATATGGCTACTAAAATGAGTGGGTAAGAACTGATACTAGATGCTTCAGTGGTTCTCATAAGGCCTATTGACATATTTAATAATGAATATAAAATAGCTTATGTAAATAGATACTTTCAATTTAATTGGTACATGTGATATTTGCATCTTTATTTTGTCTCTAAGCAAATTGTCTTTTGCTATTAATTAATAGATTAGAACAGTGCTGACTTATCCAAAATTCTGGTCTACTGTGACCCTAAGATCTCTGTGCTCTACTGATGTTCACAGAATCACTCTCTGCCTTATAGTTTTCTATAGGTCACTTTTTAAATATGTGTCTTTACTACCTTTAGTATGAGTGTTGTCCATGTTAAATAAATAACATCATGTTTATTTCATAATCTTAACTGTTGAATAGAAGAAACATAATTATCTCTTTGGGACAATAAAATTTCTTTAATATATGAGCATGATATTAATTATCTTCTTAATAACAATGTGGAATTGACTGTAATATAGCCAGCAATTGTTATTGTCTCATTCAGTTAAATCAAAAGTTATAAGTTGGATGCTGTAGTACACTCCTGTAATCCCAAAGTCTCAGGAGGCTAAGACAGGAGAATCTTAAGTTTGAGGCCAGCCTCTACAACTTAAAAAGGGGCCCTAAGCAACTTAGAGCATGTTTTAATATAATTTTATGTGATGCTGAGGATTGAACCCAGGTCCTCTCACATACTAAGCGAGCGCTCTACTGTTGAGTCACAACCCAGCTCTCAAAATAATTATTTTCTTAAAAAAGGGCTGAGGTTTTGCTTAGTGGTTAAGCACTCTTGGGTTAAATACTCGGTACCAAAAAACAAGTTAATGAATTACATAGTTTTTTTTTTTTTTTTAATAAGGCCTATTAGTTCATTGTTTTTAGGGGATGGGTTACTGGAGATTGAATAGAGGGCGCTTTACCACTGAACTACACCCCAGCTCTATTTATTTATTTATTTATTTATTTATTTATTTAATCAATCAATCAATCTAGGGACAATGTTCCACTAAGTTGCTGAGGCCCACCTGGAACTTGCAATCCTCCTGCCTCAGCCTCCCAAGTCATTTTATAGGCATGTGTCACTATGCCCAGCAAGACCTATTAGATTTTTTTAAATAATAATGAAAGAAATACAGTGGCCATTATACACTTTCATATTGTCCAGTAGCCAATGTAACCTTATGTTTTATTTTTCAATATAGTAATAGATTTATTTTCCATTTCACTTTTTTGAATTCTCAAAATTAAGTCCACATTGAGGTCCTTTTAAGATATTTTTTTCTCCCTGAAATAAGCTCATTTGTATTACCCTATTTGCAAGTATATTTATGTAATTTTTTATTTCATAATATTTAAATGATAGTCAAGGTTTTTTAAAATTTAACCACTTACATGTGCCTGGAGAAATTAGTATAATTTCTTATTTTGTATGCACCTTTGTTAACAGTTTATAAGGTATGAATACTGCAAATTGTTTTGTTTAGGAGTAATTTACCATCAGGAGAAGACAAAGTCACTAAACTAAAGGTGACTATGGTGGCCTGGGATCGTTATGATACCACAGTTATTACTGCAGTGAATAATTTCCTTTTGAAAGTGTGGAATTCTACTACAGGGCAGCTTCTTCATACTTTATCTGTGAGTATTTTATTTTAGATTCATTAAAATGGTCAGGGGCTGGGCGTGCATCTCAGGGTTAGAGAGTTTGTCTAGCATTTGCAAAGCCCTAGGCTTGATCCTTGGTACCACAATAAAGAAAGAAATAAATTAATCAATACAGAAATGAATGGAAGATTTATTCTTTAAGCCTGGCACAGTGGTGCATAGGTATAGTCCTAGTACTCCGCAGGCTGAGGCTAGAAGATCCCTTAAGTTTAGGGCCATCATGGGCAAAACATATTGAATACCTCATCTCAAAATAAAGTTTTAATGGTCAAAAGTATATTATTCTAGGAGATAAGAAATTTAAGTTATAGTTTTCTTAGGGCTAATTTTTCCAAGGGCTAATTGTCTGTGACTATTAGCCCTTGGAAAAATATTTATTCCAGAGTCCTTTTAATAGATCAGCAAAATAGTGCTGACACATGATACACCATTAAAAACAGGTTTGAGGTCTTTTCAAGATCCTTTCCAGATCTAATATTTATTATGTTATGGTATGCTTTGAAGGATATATGTGAATATGTTTTAGCATGGGTTAGATTTTTTCCATATTTTTATTGGTGTATTAGAGATATATAGATTAATGAGATTTGTTGTTACATATTCACACATGCATATAATATAACAATATAATTTGACCAATATCATTCCCTAGCACTGCCTCCCCACTCCTTGTCTATCACGTCTTAGTCCCTTTCCTCTACTGATCTCCCTTCGATTTTCATGAGATCTTCTCCCCACTTTATTTTCCTTTTTCTTCTCTAGCTTCCACATATGAGAGAACCCTTAACTTTCTGAGTTATACTTATTTTGCTTAACATGATGGCCTCTTGTTCCATCCTTTTTCCTGCAAATGTCATAATTTCATTTTTCTTTATGGCTCAATAAAACACATCTCACATTTTCTGTATTTATTAATCCATTGATGGATACCAAGGTTGGTTCTGTAGTTTGGCTATTGTGAATTATGCTGCGATAAACATGGCTATGCGTGTATTACTATAGTAAGAGACCTTTATTAATCAGGGTGAATACTGAGAAGTGGGATAGGTGGGTCATATGGTGTTTCCATGCCTAGGTTTTTAGAGGACCCTCCATACTGATTTCCATAGTGGTTGTACTAATTTAAAATCCCCAAAATAGTGTAAAAGTGTTCCTTTTTCTCCTCATTCTCTCCAACATTTATTATTATTTATGATCCTGATGACTACCATTCTGACCAGGGTAAGAAGAAATCTCAGTATAGTTTCGATATGCATTTCTATAATTGCTAATGATGTTGAACATTTTTTCATATATTTGTTGGCTGTTTGTATTTCTTTAGTTGAGAAGTGTTTGTTTAATTCAGTTGCCCATTTATTAATTGGGTTATTTGATTTTTTTTGGTGTAAAGTTTTGTGTGTTCTTTATATATTCTAGATATTAATCCTGACAGATGAGTAACTGGCAAAGATTTTCTCCCATTCTGTGGGTTCTCTCTTCACATTCCTAATTGTTTCCTTTGCTGTGTAGAAACTTAAATTTAATGCTGTCCCATTTATTAACTCCATGGCTTTATTTCTTGAGCTATAAAGGGTCCTGCTGAGATTGTTGTTGCTTGTAACTAAAAGCTGGAATGTTGACCTTGTGTTTTTTCCTAAGAGTTGCATATATTCTTGTCTAATTCTTAGGTCTTTGATATATTTTGACTTGATTTTTGTTCATAATGAGTGATAAGTGATCAGTTTCTTCTATATATGGATAACACCAGCTTTCCCAGAGCCATTTGTAAAAAGGCTGTCTTTTCTCCAATGTATTTTATTGTAACCTCTGTCAGGGACTAGATATCTGTAGATGTGTGGGTTTGTCTCTGTGTCTTATATTCTTTTCCATTGGTCTATAATCAGTTTTTATGCCTGTACCACCCACTTTTTGTCACTATAGCTCTGTAGTATAATTTGAAGTCAGATATTGTGATACCCTCAACATTGATTATTTTGGCTTTAATACGCTTTGGCTATTCTGAGTCTTTTATTTTTCCAAATGAATTTTAGGACTGTTTTTTTCTAATTCTGTGAAGAATGTCATTGGTATTTTGATGGGGATTTCATTGAATATTTATATTGCTTTTGGTGTTATGGCCATTTTAACAATATTAATTCTGCCTGTCCCTGAACATGGGAGGTGTTTCCATCTTCTGAGATCTTCTTCAATTTCTTCTTCAGTGTTCTATAGTTTTCATTGTGGAGGTATTTATCTATCTTGGTTAGATTTATTCTAGGTACTTTGTTTTTGAAGCTATTGTGAATGAAATTGTTTTCCTGATTTCTTTCTCAACAGATTCATTGTTGGTATAAAGGAAAGCTGTTGATTTTTGTGTGTTGATTTGGTAACCTGCTACTTTGCCAAATTTGTTAATTAGCACTAACAGTCTTTGGGTGGAATTTTTGGAATCTAATATGTATAAGATCATGTCACTCAAAGCCAAGTGTGGTGGCACACACCTATAATCCCAGAGCCTCGGGTGAGTCATGAGGATCAGGAGTTCAAAGCCAGGCTTAGCAACTTAGCAAGGCCCTAAGCAACTCAGTGAGACCCTATCAGTAAATAAAATACTAAATTACCTGTGCATGTGTTTCAGTGGTTAAGCACCCCTTGTTTCAACTCCTGGTATGAAAAAAAATTCGTAATGTCTTCAAACAATGATAATTTGACTTTGTGCTTTCCTATTTTTTCCCCTGTATTTCTTTCTCTTCCTAATTCCTTTGTCTAGAATTTCTAGCACTATGTTAAAGAGGAGTGGTGAGAGTGACATCCTTGTCTTATTCCAGGTTTTAAAGTTCATGCTTTCAGGTTTTTTTCCATTTATTATGAGGTTGGCTTTGGGATTTTCATATTTTGTCTTTATGATGCTGAGGTAGGTTCTTTCTATAAGTGTTAGAATATTTTATTGTAAATATTTTATGGATATCCTATTCTACATTCAGTGATTAGCTTATGCAAGAAGTAAGGGAAATAGAAGTAGGATAAAAAGGTCCTTTTTGTTTTTCTTTATAAAAGCTATTTTTTATAGTAAGAGTCTGCAGTGTTTGGTGTGAAACATTGATACATTTAATAGCAGAAATCTGATGGGTGGTGCTGATGTTTGTCAGTTTGTCATGGTATGGATTGACTTCATATTATATTTAATTTATAAGCCACGTTTCCTGTCTCATTTATAAATTCATATCATTTAAAGGGGAGAAAACTAAATGCTCTATGGTTTGGACAGCAGTAAGTGATGGAATTTAGACTAGAAACTCAATTCAGTTTTCTTTGTAGTATGTCATGATATCATCCTTATTCGACTCTTATGTAAGATAATCTTAGCATAAAGTCTCTGATGTTTCTCAAATTTTGATATAGGGAGGATTTCTTGTTTATCTGTCTCATACCTCCGAAGTCCCCTTTCTAAAGCAAAGTCCTAACAGTATATTAGTGAAGTTTTAGATTCCGACTCCTAAGGCAGTGCTTACCTATTTTGGTTTTCCCTATTCCCTGATATAAGTTTCTGTTAATGTGTCTAAAAAGACCTGTACTGTTTCCTTGACTCTTTATTAGGAAATGTGTGTCTATGTCAATATAGTCTAACAGAAACTTAACATAAGCCACATATATCATTAATTTTTCTAGCAACCATCATAAAAAATAAAAAGGAAAGTAATAATATATTTTATTTAACCTAATGCATTTAAAATATTATCATTAATTTATAATTAATATATAAATTATTAATGAAATATTTTATATTCTTATTTCATGCTAAATCTTTGAAATCTAGCATGTATGTTATACTTACAAATCATCTCCATTTATTCTATCCACATTTCATATGCTTAATAATCACATGTGATAGCAGCTACAGTATCAGACAGTACAAGTCTGATCTCTAAAATCACAATTTTAAGGCCATGTTATAGCCATTGGTTTCATAGATCAGTGTGAAATTCTTCCTTAAATACCTTAATTTGGATTCTGTTTAAAGAACCTCTTCCCATGGGCTGACTTATGCTTCATCTCTTTTTACTGAATTTTACTGCATAAATTGTATAATTGACTATTTTTAATACTTTTAACAACTCTGCCAGGCACTGGATTAGGTATTAGAGATTAGAACTAGACATTAGGAAGGAATAAATGGTAAAATTCAAAGTCCTGTCCTGCAACAGTTTACAGCCTATTAAGAGAGAAAAACTTTTAATTAAATAACTGCTAAGAATGAAAAATGAAAGATATACCATTATAAGTTTCTAATAGCATGACCACATATGATCTGAGAGATTCTGAGAAAGTTGCTAAGGAAATGAAGTCTTAAGGATTGAAACATAAGTAGGGATTTCCTAGGTCACAGCTTAAGTGTCATTTCTTGTTTGGCTTTCCCTCATCATATAATCTAAGATAGTCTCCTAGTCTTTTTCTTATCATTCCTTGTTTATCTTCATTATTGTTTATCAAAAATCAATATTTTCCTCTTAAAGTTTATTTGTGGTCATAGTAACATATTTGGTTAATTACATATATAAGGAAATTGGGAAGTCCTTCCAGGAATTCAAACAGCTTGTGTGAAGATCCTAAGGTGGAAAGGAAACCAATTTGGATAAGGCACAGGGAGCAGAATGTCTCGCCAGATAAGACTGGAGAATTGGATAGAGGTCAGACCATGCAAGATCTTGTAGATCTATTCTAAGACTAGTAGGAAACCATTCAAGGGTTTAAAACAACAACAACAAAATAGAATGTGAGTTTTGCTTTTTAAGAAATGCATTTTAATTCTGGCTACAGTAGAGAGAATAGATTGGAATGGGGTAAGAATGACAGCAGATAGACTAGAAATCTAGGGTAGCAACCAGGATGAGTCATGACAATCTAGATTTTTGTGTTGGTGGTGGAAATAGAAATGTTTTAATAAATGTAGATATGTCAAATGATAAATCTGAAGACAGTATTATTTTTTTTAAACTGGGGTTTGAAAACAGGTGTGCATTACCACTAAACTGTAATGTCCAGCACTTTTTATTCATTTTTATTTTGCTAAATAATCTTGATGAATTGCTTAGGGCCTTACTAAATTGCTGAGGCTGGCCTTGAACTTGTGATCTTCCTGCCTCACCTTGCCCTGGTTGCTGTGGTTACAGGCAAGAAATTATTGATTTTTTTTTTGTATTTTTTAGTTATAGTTGACAAAATACCTTTATTTTATTTATTTTATTTTTATGTGGTGCTGCGGATCGAACCCCAGGGCCTCACATGTGCTAGGCGGGTGCACTATCACTGAGCCACAACCCCAGCCTTGATATTATTGATTTTGATTAGATTTTATTCACCACAATCCTTTGACTGAATCCTTTGGTGGGATGTGCCTACCAAAGAAAATCCTACTTATGACTTTTCCCCAGTGTACATACCCTGTCATAGTTATGTCATCATCATGTGAATTTATCGAAGTAATTTTATGATTTACTGAAAAGGAAATTTAGAAAATATTTACTGTATCAAATAGACTATTGAACAAAGGATTTTATTGTAGAAAGGATTTTTCAATAGTGATTGGAAGAGTTTTGGCATAACGGTGTTTGTGGTAAGGGAATTTTACCTATGCATATTAATACTGCATTTGATCCAGGCTGCAGTGATTTTTAATAAGGTGTAATTTTTCTATAATTATAACATAGTAGAATTATTTTTAATTTGATAATTTGGGGATAAAATGTACTTATGAGGCTCACAGTATATGATCATTTCCAGAAGCTTCTGATGTATTATGTGTTGGCATATCACCATGTGAAATGCAGCTTTGGGATGTTCTCTATGCTTTAAGTCTGGGGGTGGGGTCTATTGTTCATTTTATGTGCTCTTACCAGGAGTTAAGTCTAATGAAATGACAATGATCTAATTCAACCGTTGGCAAACTTTTCCTTTATGAGGCCAGATTATAAATATTTTAGACTTTGTACATTCCATCTCTGTTGCATATTGTTTGCTGTTTTATTTATTGCTTTGGGGTTTTATATAACCTTTTAAAACCATAAACATTTTTAACTTATAGGCTGTTTGTATAAACATGTCTAGAATCCATTACTTTTCTCTGGATCTAAGGTCTCTATATACTGCTATACTTTGATTAGTTTACAGAGAAGCATGTAATACTTAGCATTGGTTTTCAAATTCAGTTTTCTTAGCAGAAAATCTATTTTTCAGATAATGTCTTAAATGGAATCCCAGGTTAAAAGTAGATACAGAACAAAGTCACTAAGCTTTGTCCTTTGAATGTATCATGGGGCCTCCCAAAATGCAGTTTGAATATCAGTCATAGAAAATACCGGATGAAGAACAATGAAGGTTTGTCTGTTATCATTGTGGCAGAATTAGATGTTAATGAAAGATTTTGTTTGCCACTTTTTTTATCATGTTTAAATAGTACATTTGCAGATATCCAAATTTCCCTTCAAAGACCAGTTTAATGAGTTTGAAATACTTTCCTGTGTCTTCTGTGTGTGTTGCATTCTTTATAAAATCAGCAGTTATACATTTAAGGAAGTCAAATTGAACTGTATTATTCATGTAGTAGCCACATAGTAAATGGTATGTATTAAATTGTAATGCATGAATTCATCTGAACCTGATTGATAGTATTCCCAAGATGTTTTGATCAGATAAATCTGATACTTGGTGTTGCTTTTAAATTTTAATATTGATTTTTATCACAGGGTCATGATGATGAAGTATTTGTTTTAGAAGCACATCCATTTGATCCAAGGATCATTCTTTCAGCGGGTCATGATGGAAACATATTTATTTGGGACCTTGACCGGGGGACCAAAATTCGGAATTACTTTAACATGGTAAGAGAAATATGTGTTTAGTTTATATTAAAATAACTGTTTTTATGGGATAACTTGATGAGTATACTTAGTTCAAAGGAACCTCCTGTTATCTCTGTTAAAATTGCTAAAATAATTCAGAAAATAATTCAAAAGCCTTATAATAAGGCCATTGGAGAATTAAGCCTAAGTGATTCGTTTATCTTGGTATTAGCATTTTCCAAATTCTGGTTCCCACCTCTAAACTCCTTAATCTCAAATTAACTTTTCAGTTAATTCTTAACCAAGATCACAAAAATGTTATTTAATCTATAATCCTAATTTATGAATTATAAAAGTAACAGTAATAATTTGAATTTGTCTCTGGTAACTCTTATGGCTTAGTAGTTGAAAAATAGATATGCAAATAGTGATGCTCTTAAGATTTATTTTATATAAATCATAGAAAAAACTACCATATTTTCCATATTTAATGTCCTTTTCTTTTTTAACTTTTTAAGTTGTATATGGACACAATATATTTTATTTATTTTTATGTGGTGCTTAGGATCAAACCCAAGGCTTCACACATACTAGGCAAACACTTTACCACTGAGCCACAACCCTTGCCCCTAGTGTCCTTTTCTTAATAACAGTTCTGACAACATTTCTTTCCCTTTTTTTTTGATTCTACTTAGTTGTATATGACAGTAGAATGCATTTGGACACAGCATACATAAATGGAGTATAACTTCTCATTCTTCTTGTATATGATGTAGAATCACAACAGTTGTGTATCATATATACACATAGGGTAGTAATGTTCAATTTATTTTATTATCCTTTATAGCCCCATACCCTCTCCCCTCCAGTCACTCCCCTCTATTCCTTCCTAGCCACCCCCCCCTCTTATTTTAATTAGCCTCCACATATCAGAGAAAACATTCAGCCTTTGGTTTTTTGGGATTGACTTAGTTCACTTAGTATGATATTGTTCATCTCCATCCATTTATCAGAAAATGCCATAATTTCATTCTTCTTTAAAGCTCAGTAATATTCCATTGTGTATATGTACCACTTTTTTTATCCATTCATCTGTTGAAGGGCACTTGGGTTGTTTCCATAGCTTACCTATTGAAGGGCATTTAGGTTGCTTCTGCAGTTTAGCTATTGTGAGTTGAACTGCTATGAACATTGAGGCGGCTGCATTACTGTAGTATGCTGATTTTAAGTCCCTTGGGTATAAACCAAGAAGTAATTTAACTGGGTCAAATGGTTGTTCTATTCCAAGTTTCTGAGGAATCTCCCTACTGCTTTCCAGAGTGGTTGCACCAGTTTGCATCCCACCAGCAATATATGAGTGTACATTTTGCCCTACATTCTCACCAACATTTATTGTTGCTTGTATTCTTAATAATTGCCATTCTGACTGGAACAAGATGAAATATTAGAGTAATTTTGATTTGCATTTCTCTAATTGCTAGAGATGTTGAACATTTTCATATATTTGTTGATCAATTGTATTTCTTCTATGAAGTGTCTTTTCAGTTCCTTAGCATATTTACTGATTTTTTCCCCCTTTGTTCATACTTTCCATAGTTAGTGTACTTTTCTTATGAACAGTTCTGACAACATTTTTAGACTATTTGTTGGCCTTTGAGCCCACTTGAAAGACATTATAAAGATCTAGAGCACTTACCCTGTCTTGTGTTATTAAAATTAATTTGTGTGATTTAATTTTAGGATGGTTAATTTAAGGCTTAATTGCATTTCTCTTAAGATATGAAGATAGTATCTGAACTTTTCTGTAATAGCAAACCTGTGACAATTTGGTTACATTTAAATATTTTTAAAATCTCCTTGGTCACCCAATAGTATTTCACAGGGTGTGCCATTACTAATGATGATTGATTCCATTCACTGCAATTTTACTGTCCCTACTTTCTTTCGGAGCATTATTTCTTTAGGTTTCTGGCTACAGAAGCCAGAGAGTACATTGGGATATTAATGCTTCACAGCATCCAATGTATTAGCAAAGAGATGTTATCTCCTACTTATTATTTTAGAACAAGTCATAAGATTACTTAAAATGACTCCTCTGAATTCCAGATTGAAGGCCAAGGACATGGTGCAGTGTTTGATTGTAAATTTTCACCAGATGGAAACCATTTTGCGTGTACAGATTCTCATGGGCATTTGTTGCTTTTTGGTTTTGGTTGCAGTAAATACTATGAAAAGGTCAGTACTTTTTTGGGTAGACTATAATTTGGGATTATATCATTCAGAAGTTTTGTTTGACTCCTAAATAGATACAAAGTAAGAATATTGTATCTCTTGGTAAATGTTTTGTCATTGCTGAACATCAGGCTTGACAGTGTGTGTGAGTCACTATTGAAGTGCAGGGTGATGTAGATGTAGACATTCATTAGGAAAAACTTTGGTTTAGAATATATTTTGTGTTACTGTTCAGGTATAATAAGAATAACTGAAACAGACTGCTATATCATCTGCTTATCATGAATGGAAATAAATAGTTGGTGACTGAAAGTTTACTTTCCTGATTGTTATTTTACCTATTATTGATCTTGTGAAAATACTTAGGAAGCTAGCTTAATGGTTCTTTATATTTTATTAGCTGTGAATTTGGAATAGATTATGGAATCTTAGAGCTGAAAGAGAACTCAGAAACACTGATGTCAGCTCAATATTTGTATCAGCTTTCAGTGTCAATAATGTGATATATATTTACTTGTCTTACCATATGTGTTATACTTCTGGTCTATATTCATTTGAATAAAAATAGAGTTTTATATGATTTTTATGACTTAAAATAACTCTTTACATGGTTGTTGCTTTAGTTTTCTTATCATAATTAGAGAAATATGATATAGGGCAAAAAAGTAATGCATATCTAGAATTTGTAGAGAAGAGAATTACCATATAGGTAATGTGCTTCAGATGGAACATTTGGCAACACAGGACTACAAGAGAATACAAAAGTTGTCTGACTCAGAAATATGTATGCTCTAGAAATGAAAATAAGTGCCAAATCTATATGTTCCCTATGTATATTAAATACTAAAATTTCTGTCATAAGATTCCAGATCAGATGTTCTTCCACACGGATTATCGACCTCTTATCCGTGATGCCAATAACTATGTGTTAGATGAACAAACACAACAAGCTCCTCACTTAATGCCTCCCCCATTCTTGGTGGATGTTGATGGAAATCCTCATCCCACAAAATTTCAACGGCTAGTGCCGGGACGGGAAAATTGTAAAGATGAACAACTTATACCACAACTGGGATATGTGGCCAATGGTACGTTATCATGATAATTAAATTGGAAATATTTTGCAAATGTCATACTTGATTCTGTTCTCTCTGTGGCATTTGTCCCTCACTAAATACTGAAATAAGTTATGGTATGTTTTGCCTTCTACTTCTGTTCATTTTCATTTGTTTTACCTTTTACCCTACCAGAGTACTTTTATATAGAAACAAAAGTGTATACTCAAGCACTGAATGTGTTGATCTAGTTCCATAGAAACCCTACATATGATCATCTTCTATGTAATATTGCTTCTAGTAATGATTAAATGGACTAATTTTAATGTATATAATTGGTGAAATTTCTCTGTTCATTGTATTAGTGTTTTAGTTTAAAAGGCCCTAGTTAATTGGACCTAAGAAGAGGAAACTTCAAAAACCACATACTAGGGCTGGGGCTCTAGCTTAGTGGCAGAGTGCTTACCTAGCATGTGTAAGGCCCTGGGTTTGATCATTAGAACTACATGAAAATAAACAAATAAAATAAAGACATTCAGTCTTTATTTTAAAAATAAAAAACTTTAAAAATTACAAAGTAGATATTTACCCATCCTCATACTTAAGATGCAAAAAGTTACTGGACATTGGGGAATGGGTTGTGATTGTTTAAATAAGACTAATCTTGGAAGATATTGGGGAATCAGCAATAAGTTTGATGGACTGTGGGAAGATAATAGAATAAAATATTAGAATAAGCTATTCTGTGCCAAATAATCTTTGCCTCTTCAGATTGGCATATTTCCATTCTGTATATTGCCCTTCCCACATAGAATGTCTTCATATCTCAGTTTGGTACTGGTAGGTTTTCTTCAGGTATGGAGTAGTAGTGAGTTTATTAAATTGCAACTGGAATTCAATTTCTTGGCTAGGGGATTAAGGCTTGAATTGATCTTTATAGAGTAAAGTTCCATACATCCTTTTATGCCTGTCTCATAAAGGTTTGTAAAGCAGTGAACTGGTATGACAACTATGCCAATAGTTACTCTGAAGATGTCATAATTATTAACTGAGGAGAAAAACTGAATATTAAATGTTGTATAAAACTGAAAACGTCTGAATAAAAAATAATTTATTACTCTTTATTCCTTATAAGACCTGATCTCTTGATTACTCTATCAGATACCTCTTGATATGACTATAAGAAAAGATAAAAAATAGTGATATCTAAGACAGAAAAACATTTAAAATTTTCATTTAAGGTAAACAATGAGTTTCAATATTTCATAATAAAAATTGTTTGTTCATAAGAACAATGGGATGTTAGCAAATGATATATTCATTTGGAAAACTATAATTATGTCTTTCAGAAAGCAGTTTTCACCAAAAAAGATATAAATATTTTAGGTCACTGAACCTATTTAAACCTTACTTAAATCTTTAATTTCTAATTTTTACCTTAGAATATTCTTTGGATGAAATTTATTTTAAAATCAATTGTTTTAACTTTTATATTCTTTGAGATGCTCTTCATAATTATGTCTTAAGTTAGGAACATTGACTAAATCAAAGAGAAGCTGACACATAAAAATTAAAAGATTTATAAAATAATTTGTTTGATGTATACTCTATTTTCATTTTAAGCCAATTTTCAGTTATTGCTCTGAAAATTTAGAAGTTTAGTTTGTTTTTACTGGTTTTAGGGTATACTAAAATGTAATCAATTTTGTGGCTTTTTATGTTTGGTCTCATTAAGGTGATGGCGAAGTGGTGGAACAGGTAATTGGACAGCAAACCAATGATCAGGATGAGAGCATTCTTGATGGTATAATCAGGGAACTACAGAGAGAACAAGATCTGAGACTAATTAATGAAGGAGATGTTCCACATTTTCCACTTAATAGATCATACTCTGTTAATGGTGGTAAGTGTTTGTATATTTCTGAAAAGTGTAATGAATATACTTTATTCTACTTAAACAAAGAATTATATTTGAGAAAAGATTTTATTTATAAATGAAAACATTTATTAATTTACAGTTGTGATGTCAGATACTCCATGGGGTTTTAATCTCATTATTATTTGTGACAAAAATGACTTTGTATCTCCTAAAAACACAGATGTCATATTTTTATATGCTGTTTTCTTCTAATTGAATTTATTTGCAATCTTTACTTTTTTACAGAAGTGAAATCTTGCAATAAGTCCAATTCTTTTGTAGGGGAACCACAAAAAACTTAAGCTTAAAACCACCTTAAGTTTACAAAACACTACCCCCCTAAAGTGATCCTTCTTTGCTGAGAGAAGAACAGCATACCATGTCTCCCCGCTTGAATTTACAAAAGTATGCTGGAAAACAAGAAGCCCTCTGAATTGACTTTCACAATACATTTATCTTAATATCAGTAAAAGTTTTGTTATAAGTAATCACTGTATTTTAAAAATGGATATTCTAACTTATATTTTTTCACTTGAAATGAAAAGTGACTGTGCATTTCAGTTATATATAAATCTTAGCTTTATGAATTACTTTATGAGAATTTGGCACATATCTTTATATTTTCATAATTGAGGTAATTTATTTGGATAGAATGGCATTTGGGTTTGCCCATAATTGAATAAAGATATTTAAATTCAAGGTGATTCATAGGATATTTTACTTAATTATTTCTTCAATCTCCATAAAATTAAGTTAAAATTGGTTCTTCATTTTGGGCCATTTGGAGCACTTAATGACAAGGTAAGAAGCTTTATGGAACCTTGAACTTGTAAATAGTAGTCTGATATCTCTAAGTCCTTTGTTTTTAAAACATAAAACTTTCTTAGGGCTTTCCCTGATTTAGACATCCATTTATTAAATCAACCTTCAGCTCTAAATTCTATACTAGGTTTCTGTGGATAGATTTGAAAATTTAATAGAGTCCCATTTGTCAAAGGGACCCTATTGGCTATTATTTACAGTGTTTATTTGTTTTGACTTTTTGTTTTAATGATAGCAGTTGAATATTTCAGTTTTTACTTGTGTTTTAGTTGCAAGTATTAGAAAAATAGCAATAACCTATCTAGAGTACCCTAAAGAAAATTAAAAGTTCTGTTACTTTTTTTCTGATACTGGTTATTGAATCCTGGGGCATTTTACCACTAAACAACATCCTCAGCCCTTTTTATTTATTTATTTTTAGATAGGATCTCACTAAGTTGTCCAGAATAGCCTCAAACTTGTGATCTTCCTGCCTCATCCCCCAAAGTAGCTGGAATTACAGTCACATTTCATTGTGTCTAGCTGCTCATCAGTCTTTGAAAATGAAAATTTAATGTTAAAAACTTTGGGTTATACTTTTATTTTATTTTATTTTTTTGGTACCAGGAATTAAACACAGGAGCACTTAATCACTGAGCCACATCCCCAGCCCTTTTTTTGTGTTCTATTTAGAGACAGGGTCTCACCAAGTTGCTTAGGGCCTCCATATGTTGCTGATACTGGCTTTGAATGCGATCCTCGTGTCTCCACCTCTGAGTCACTGGGATTACAGGCATGCACCACCACACCTGGGTTGGTTTATATTCTTTTTTAAAAAAAAATTTAATATTTATTTATTTTTAGTTTTCGGCGGGTACATCTTTGTTTGTATGTGGTGCTGAGGATCGAACCTGGGCCGCACGCATGCCAGGCGAGCGTGCTACCTCTTGAGCCACATCCCAGCCCATTGTTTTTTTCAGAGTAGAAATTAGAAGTTTATTAAAGGACAGCAGAAAAGACTTCTCCCGGAGAAAGAAGGGGACCCAAGAGGTGGAATCCCAGTTTATATTCTTTATTATACTATTTCTGAAAGCTTTATTGAAACTTTACTCTGAAATATTTTAATGGACTAAATGAAGGATTTAGAATAACAAGATGCTTCCTGAAACAGTACTAGTAAACATTTGCAAATCTCCCAAATCATATTTGAATCCATTTTTGTATTTAGTGAGAATTGAGTAAATGGTAAGAACTATAGAAGATTTAAAAATTTATTGAGCTCCTTTATTGATGACATTAACAGGAAAAGATGGTACAGAATGTAGAAGAAAGAGGTAGGAATACTTCAGATAGTCCTATCTTTGAATCTCCTATTTTGTGTAAGAACCCTCATCTAAAAGATTGGTGCTATTGCTCAGAAAATTGTATTTTTCTTCATTTGTGTTTCAGCTCTACGAAGTCCAAATATGGACATATCCTCTTCCCCAAATATAGGACTTCGACGTAGTGGTCAAATTGAAGGTGTTCGACAGATGCATAACAATGCTCCTCGGAGCCAGATGGCCACAGAACGAGATCTCATGGCATGGAGCAGAAGAGTGGTGGTCAATGAACTAAATAATGGGGTTAGTAGGTGAGTCACTAAGGTAACATTTCTAATAAAATATAGAGCTCTATAGTAATGGGGTTGTAGCTCAGTGGTAGAGTGCTTGCCTAACAAGTATGAGGCACTAGGTTTGATCCTCAGCACCACTTTAAAAAACAAACAAATAAATAAATAAAACAAAGGTATTGTGTCCATCTACAACTAAAAACAAATAAAAGAAACATTCACCTTTAAAAGAAAGAAAATTTAGAGCTCAAGTTTTTAATAATATTTATTTAGTTGTAGATGAACACACAGTATCTTTATGTATTTTTATGTGGTGCTGAGGATTGAACCTAGTGCCTCACACATGTGAGGCAAGTACTTTATCACTGAGCAACAGCCTGAGCCCCAGAGCACAATTTTTTAGGAAGTAAATTATATTAAGTTTTCCTAGTAACTTTGACAATTTTTAATCTAGCTGAGATATTTTTCAAAATAACTCCAATTATTTTACTCCATATCAAATAGTCAGTTATTGTCAATTTGTTCAGAATATGCTAAATGCTTTGGGGCATATAAAAATGCAAAGAATGATTTCTTTTTCCAAGTTTGTTTTTATTACTGCATTTAAATTATGCATAATAGTGGGATTTGTTGTTATATATTCATACATGTACTCAATAAAAAAACATAATTAGGTTAATTTTGTTCCATATTACTTCCCTTTCCTCTCCTCTTCCCTCCCCTGGTGTATGATTTATTTTCTTTATAATCTATGTTAGGATAGGAATGCAAATGTTATTAAGTAATAACTTATAAGAAGTTATATGTGATTAAACATATGAATTGTATATAGATCCTGTATTCAATAGTGGCTCCAGGAGAGAGCCATCAGCTTAATATTGGAGCAGTTTTGGGGTAAAATGTAGATATCTGCTAGACCCTAGTAATTAGAGTATGTTTAGAAATGTCACTTAAATAGACTTTATTTGATGAAAAAATATTTCACTAGGATGAATTTCAAACCTAGAATCTTTATTCCTTTTTGTTTTAAGTGATATTTTTATTGGTGCATTATAATTGTACATGTTGGTAGTATTCCTTATTATGTATTCAAACATGTACACAATACAACAATAAAATTTGGCCAATATCAATCTCTAGTATTTCCCCTTTTCCTTTTCTCCTTTGGTTGGTCCCTTTCCTCTTCTTTACTGGTCTCACTTTAATTTTAATGAGAATCCCGCTTTTTTGCCTTTTCCTTCCCTAGCTTTCACATATGACAGAAAGCATATGACCTTTGACTCTGAGGTTGGCTTATTTTGCTTAACATAATGTTCTCAAGTTCCAATTCATTTTCCTGCAAATGACATAACTTAATTTTTCTTTATGGGTCAATGAAGCTGTATTCTGTAGAGTTTTCTTTATCTATTCATCCATTCACAGAAAACTAGACTAGTTCCATAGTATTATGTATGTATGAATATAGTATGAAGACTTTAACTCTTTAGAGTAAATCCTGAAGACTGGACTAACTTGGTCATGTGGTAGTTCCATGCCTAGTCATTTGAGGAACCTCTATACTATGTAATATAGTAGGTGTACTAATTTACAATTCCACCAATGGTATAGAAATGTTCCTTTTTCTCTACATCTTATCCCTATTTTATTATTATTTGTATTCTTTTAAAAATGATTTTAGTTGTAGATGCACATAATACCTTTATTATATTTACTTATTTTTATGTGGTGCTGAGGGTCAAACCCAGTGCCTCTCACATGCTAGGTAAGTGTTCTACCACTGAGCTACAATCTATCCCAATCCTTACTTTTTGTATTTTAAATAGCTGTCATTCCAACTAGGGTAAGATGAAATCTCAGTGTAGTTATGATTTGTATTTTTGTAATTGCTAACAATGTGAATGCTGGACTCAGTGGTAGAGCACTTGCCTGGCACGCATGAGACACTGGGTTTGATCCTCAGCACCACATATAAATAAAGGTATTGTGTTCATCTGCAACTAAAAGAAATATTTTTTAAAGATTTGAATGTTTTTTAATATATTTGTTGGCCATTTGTATTTTTTTCTCTTTTGAGAAGTGTCTGTTTTGCCCATCTATTAAGTGTTATGCATTTTTTAGTGTTCATTTTTTTTAGTTCTTTATATTAATTCTCTGTCAAAAGAGTAGCTAGCAAATATTTCTCTCCCATTCTGTAGGTTCTCTTTTCACATTCTTAATGGATTCCTTTGTTGCTTTTTAATTTGATGCCATCCTATTTAATATTTTTTGACATTAATTCCTTAGTTTTAGGAATCCTATTAACAAAATCATTGCCTGCATCTATTTTTTTTTTTGGAGTGTTGATTCTTCATTTTCTCCAAGCAGTTTCATAGTCCCTGGTCTAATTCCTAGGTCTTTAATTTTGAGTTGACTTTTTGCAGGATAAGGCATAAGGATCTATTCATATTCTTCTTCATATGAATAAACCAGTTTTCCCAGCATCATTTGTTTAAAAGGCTATATTTTCTCCCAACACATTTTTGATATCAGTATGAGTTTATCTCTCTGTCTTCTATTCTGTTTCACTAGTCTATGTGTCTGTTTTTATGCCAGTACCATGCAATTTTTGCTACTATAGCTCTAGTATAATTTGAAGTCAGGTGATGACTCCAGCATTGCTTTTTTGGCTTAGAATAACTTTGGCTATTCTGAATCTTTTATTGTTCGTAATAAATTTTAAAATTCCTATTCTTATTTATAAATCCTAGTAATTTGCTATAATATCAACTTCAGATATTTCCCAGCAATTGGAAGTGGATTTTGGAAAGAGAAAAGGACATTGACAAAGACCATGTAAAATTTATTTTAATCATGTATCCTCTTTACCTAGCCTTTTAGTAGATTGACTAAGTAGCAAAAGTCATTTGATTTCAACTTATCTATATATAGATAAGCTGCCTTCTGATATAAGCTGGGAGCATTAATAAGAAAAAGTAGATATAGCTAACTTAGGAATAGAATGCTAAAAACCCTGGCAGTAGAGCAATTTGAAATAATTTTTACTCAAAACTTTGGAAGTAGAGCTGAAAACAGGGAATCAAATAGGTATTTGTACATGAATGCTCATTGCAGTTTTATTTACAGCAATCAAATTGTGGAAACAATGCAAGTGTCTGTCAGCAGATAAATGGGTAATCAAATGTGGTATATAACCATGCATGGTGGTACACGACTGTAATCCCAATGGCTGGGGAGACTTAGGCAGGAGGATCATGAGGTCAAAGAGAGCCTCCACAACTTAACATGGCCCCATCTCTAAATAACAAATCTAAAGTGTCTGTGGATGTGGCCCAGTGGTTAAGCACCTCTGGGTTCAATTCCTGGTTCCAAAAAAAAAAAAGTGGTATATCTATTCAATGGAAAGTTATTCAGCCATAACAAAAGATACCTGCTGTTAAAAGACATTGAAAACACTGAAAATGCTAAGTGAAGGAAGCTAGACAAACAAGAGGACAATTACTGTATGATTCCACTTACTTAAAATATTTATACTAAAATTACTTATAGACATAAAAATGGATTAGAGGTTATCCAAGGCTGGAAGAATTGAATGGGAAGTTATTGCTTTGATAGTTGCAGACTTTATGTTTGTAGTGATGACAATTTTTTGAAATGATACTGGTAATGGTTACAGAACATTATGAATATAATTAATTGTCACTGAAGTAATAACACCTATAAGCATTAAAATGGCAAATTTTATAATTAAATGTATGTTTATTCTCTGACTTTTTACTTATTTTGTAAATTTTTTCTATTCTTTTTTGTCTGGCTGGCTTTTTAACTACTGGTTTCCTTATTTATGATTTTCTGATATTTTGACCTTTGATTTGTAATTAGGGTTCAAGAAGAATGTCGAACCGCAAAAGGTGACATAGAAATTGGTCTTTATACAGTTGAAAAGAAGAAAAAGCCATCTTATACTATCCAGAGGGTAAGTTTATTTGTGCAGTACTTTGAGATATATTATTTGCAACATTTATGTATTCAAAGACTGTCTTATAGGGAATTTATCTTATGATCCCCAGTTGAGATGTATGTTTATTCTTAATAAAATTAGTTACACCGTCCACCCCAAGTCTAGGACATGTAGTTATTGTATGTATAGGATATTTATTTTAAAATACATTTTTCCTTAGTTAAATTAGATTTTTTAAAATGCTGCCTTGTAAATGCTGCCTTTAAAATGTGCCATATAAAAATTTAATCTTTATTTTGACCTATTTACCAAAGGGATACACTACCAACAATTATTATTACCACCAGTGAATTATCCATAATTACTCAATTTCTTCTCTTAGTCCACAAATGGGACTAAGCAATGTGATATAAGAGTTTAAATGTGGCATGCATTTTGAGGTATATGTCTGGGTGTGCCTTGATGTGGTCTAAAAATGGAATTATATATTACTTTTTATATATACATTATATTCATCCTTCTATTGGTTTAGTTAATATAAGGTTTATATATATATATATATATATTTTAAGTAACTCTCCTATCATTTTTCTGTGATGGGGTAAGAATTGGACTAAACTAATTTTAAAGATATTTCTTAACAGTTTTAAGTACACTAAACTAGAATGAACAAAAATATAGATCATTACATCTAATTAGATATTTCAAATTTGCCTAGATTTTTAATGGAATGAAAGATGTACATATTAACATAAATATAATATAGATAACTTGTTTATCCTGTAATTGTGAATAATGTAGCATATGCAAATGGTGAATGAGCAAATATTTTACAACACAGACTTTTAGCAGCTTTGATTTGATCACAACATTTTCAAAATAAGAAGGTGATCAATATCAGTGGAAAATGAGTCATATATTTGTGTGTATCTAATTATTATTATAGTTTTATATTGGTTTCTCTCTTCAGCAAATTTTCCTCATCCCTGATTCCTTCCCTGCCTAATTAATTGACTTATTTATTTTCAGTTTTTTTTGTATTGATGGAGCTTTTCATTTTTTTTCTATTTTTAAAACATTTTATATAACTCATAAACAGTGCTTGTATAAAAATTCACACAAAATTGCTAGAGAGCATACAATTTCCAGGAATGTCCTGGGTTTTTGTTGCATTCAGTTTTCTAAAGATGCACTCAATTCAGTGGTAATATTCAGACATTATGCGATATTTTATTATCTTTGGTAAAACTATTCTCATTATTTTGTCTCCTTATAGTATTAACTCTGATATCCACTTTGTGCAGGGTCTGCTCTCACTAGGATGTCAGAAAACATTAAGGCTGGATCTACTAGAGGAAAATGTTCCCAATAGCAGGGACACCCCTGGCCCCCAACCCCACTTCAGAATCCTCACCATAGCCAGGCAGAGCTTTTCATTTTAAAAACTGTGTTTTCCTTTTCTTCTACAGAATGATTACCCACCTAGCTGTGGGCGGTCTTTACGAAGGACACAACGCAAGCGTCAGCATACTTATCAAACACGGTCCAACATAGAGCATAATTCACAAGCATCATGTCAAAATTCAGGTGTACAGGAAGATTCAGATAGCTCCTCAGAGGTTAGATATCTTTGTTATTTATTCAATATGATGTTGTTTGCTGTATGTGCCATCAATTTGGATTTACTTTTGAGGGTCACTTTAATAGAAAAATTTTAGGAATTTTGTTATAAGAAGTTTACTCATTAATAAGAAACTTAATGAACAAATCTAGGCATCATATTAAATTATTTTAGATGTCTTCTCTGATTTGTACCTAGGATACTATCTTGGTTAGAGTATAACAAATGCAAGCAAAAGTTTGACTTTCGGACAAAGAGGAAAGACAGTAAGAGAAAAATCTTCCTATAATTGGAAAGATATGGGATATAAACAGTAGTAATAAGAGTTTCAGAACTTATGGACTGTGAAATCAACATAATGTACACATTTTCTGTTACTACCTGTTCTTCTGTTCTCCAATCCTTTTATTCCCTTAACCATACTAGTCATGCACAATAGGAATTTAATTGTGCATCGACAGAGTATGATACTTCCATTCTCCTGCCATTCACAATTCTTAAACTAGATATTTTCAAAAAATCTTTCCCCCATGAATTTCTTAATCTTAAAAGAATGACAAATTACAGTATATTTAAAACAATATTTTAACATATAAGAGGATTATACTGTATTTGGGCTTAAGGTGTTTTTCAGTCTTTGAAGTAATATAAGTTATTTTATGTCATAAGATGGTATAATCCAGAAATATATAAATACCTGGGAAGCTTACTTGTGAGTTATAGATATATAGAGAAAACTAATTCTGTTTTAGCTAGAATACTTTTGGGGTAAATAAAAAAGTGTTATAGAATAGGTAGTAGTTTGCCAATGAATATTATGCTACCTAATAATAACCATATATCTTAATTATTGACTCTTTATTGTAGGAAGATGAAACTGTTGGCACAAGTGATGCTTCTGTAGAGGATCCTGTTATTGAATGGCAAAGTGAAAGTTCTTCCAGGTTATTTTTTAATGATTTTTGACTTAGTCAAAATTATTCAGCAGTTTTTAATATGAAAATATGTTCTTATAGGAATTTGTTAAAACAAGAGTTAAAATAATGTTTCACAAATATTTTTGGTTGTAGATGGACACAATACCTTTATTTTATTTATTTATTTTTATGTGGTGCTGAGGATCAAACCTAGTGCCTTACACGTGGTAGGCATGCACTCTACCACTGAGCTATCCCCCCAGCCCCAAAATATTATATAAAGAAAGAATACCAAATTAGAAGTCAATAGACTTGTTGTTTTTATCTTGTCTCTTCCTTTATTTTATGTCCTTTGGGGCTTTTTAATTTCTTTATTGGTAAAATGAAGTCCCTTTTTAATTCTAGATTCTACATCTTGGCGAATATATATATATATATATTTCATATTAAAAAATAAATGACAGCAGAATGCATTACAATTCTTATTACATATATACAGCACAATTTTTCATTATCTCTGGTTGTATCTAAAGTATATTCATACCATTTTGTGTCATCATACATGTAATTTGGATAATGATGTCCATCACATTCCACCAACCTTGCTAATCCCCTGCCCCCTCCCTTTCCCTCCCACCCCTCTGCCCTATCTAGAGTTCATCTATTCCTCCCATGCTCCTGCTCCCTACACCACTATGAGTCAGTCTCCTTATATCAGAGAAGACTGATATAAGGAGGCTGACTCATAGTGGTGTAGGGGGAGTTATGCTAAGTATAATTTCACTTAGCATTATCTTCTCCAATGCCATCCATTTACCTGCAAATGCCATGATTTTATTCTCTTATAATGCTGAGTAAAATTCCATTGTGTGTATATGCCACATTTTTTTAATCCATTCATCCACTGAAGGGTATCTAGGTTGGCTCCACAGTTTAGCTAGTATGAATTGTGCTACTATAACCATTAATGTGGTTGTGTCCCTGTAGTATGCTGTTTTTAAGTCTTTGGGGTATAAAACCAAGAGAGGGATAGCTGGGTCAAATGGTGGTTCCATTCCCAGATTTCCAAAGAATCTCCATACTGCTTTCCATGTTGGCTGCACCAATTTGCAGTCCCACCAGCAATGTATGAGTGTACCTTTTCCCCCCACATCTTCGCCAACACTTATTTTTGTTTGTCTTCATAATAACTGCCATTCTGACTGGAGTGAGATGGTATCTTAGTGTAGTTTTTGATTTGCATTTCTCTAGTGTCTAGTAATGATGAACATTTTTTCATATATTTGTTGATTGATTGTATATCCTCTTCTGAGAAGTGTCTGTTCAGGTCCTTGGTCCATTTATTGATTGGGTTATTTGTTTTTTTTTTTTTTTTTTTTTTTTTTTTTGGTGCTTAGCTTTTTGAGTTCTTTATATGCCTTAGAGAACCCTATTTGATTATTCCTAGAAATAATGTAGATCTTTCTTTTAAATAAGATATTGTGGTTTAGATAGGGATTTGAAATCCTGTTATAGAAAACTAAGTGTTATACTTTACCCAAGAAGCATTTCATTAAAATCACATTGATAATGATCAGAATTTTATATTGACACTTCTTTTTCTGTGCAGCCATGTCATTTATAATTCCATTTGATAATATAGTGGTCACTATTCAAACATTAGGTAAAATTATTACTTTTCTATACTAAGGTATTCATACTTTTGGTTTATTTACAGTGATTCATCAAGCGAATATTCTGACTGGACCGCTGATGCTGGAATAAATTTGCAACCTCCAAAAAGACAAACCAGACAGGCCACACGGAAAATATGCAGCAGCTCTGAGGAGGAGAATTTGAAATCACTAGAAGAAAGGCAAAAGAAACCTAAACAGACTAGAAAGAAGGTTTGTAAATATATGGGTTGTTTTGGTTTTGCTTTTATTGTAGTGGTTTGTTTTTTCCTTAGATACTTGAATATTTAACAGTCACATTTAACTTATCTTAAAATAACATTATAGCTGAGAAAACAAGTAAATAAAAGTAATTTATATGGATTTCAAAATGTAAATAATTTTGACATTTTATTTTATTTATTATTATTTTTATTTGTTAATTTTGCATTATAATTCTTAATACACCATTATACAATAATTTATCATATCTCTGATTATATATAAGGTGTGTTGACACCAAATTCACATCTTCATACACGTATTTTGTATAATAATGAGAGTCTTCTTTCACCATCCATGCTATTCCTCTTCTCCCTCCCTTTCCCTTCTACCCCTATTCCCTATCTAGAGGTAATCTTCCTCCCTTGCTCTCCCTCCCAACCCCATTTTGAGTTACTCCCTTTCATTTTGACATTTTTGTGTTATCAAAGATAGAGGCTGAGTCTTCATCATTATAATATTGATCATTATATGTTAAAATATAACAAAGTTCTTGAATAATAAGCAAGTATAGTGTAAATGTATTATTCTTTCAGTGTTACCAGTCATAAATTTCTATATATTTTTGAATCAGATAATGGAAAAGTGTAATTAATTGTATAGGGCACTTCTTCCATTCCTTTGTTTTTAATTTATCCCAAAAATGGTTTCTTTTTTTCCACTATAATTTCATTTAGATGACATAAAGAATTAATTCACATAGTTCTTTGAATTAAAAAAAAATTATATACACTTTATATGTCCTGTTTCATTAGTAGACATAATTTTTTGATTATCACCTTCTATTTGTGAAAGTTATTTCTTACTATTGTTTTAATTCAGGTTGTACTCTACGAATATGAAGAGTAAAATTTCTAGTTTTTAGATGTTATATAGTTTTATTATCAGTTAGGTGAAATGAAGATTTTTTGTATTGGTACAAAAGGTATTATAATTGCTAAAGAAAAGTCTTTAAAATGTGTGTGTTCCAGGGTTTCTTTGAACCTGATGTTTTAACATACTCTCCCTGCTATGTTTCATACTGTTATTAATTTGTTTAAGCATTTATAAATTATATGTTTTATATATATGTGCTATAAATGTATTTATATTTTAGAAAGGAGGACTGGTTTCTATGGCAGGTGAACCCAATGAAGAATGGTTTGCCCCACAGTGGATCTTGGATACTATACCACGACGTTCCCCATTTGTTCCACAGATGGGAGATGAGGTATTTTTTTTTGATACATGGAAATATTGCTGTGTTATTTTGAACTAGACTGAGGCAGTCTTCCTACCCTAGTCTCCCAGGAACTAGAATTACAGGTGTGTACCACCTTGCACAGCAAGATGGGTTGGTTGTTCCTTGTTAAAATTTTTTCTCTCAGATCCTCAAGCACTAAATTTTTAATGAGTCTTAGAATATGTATATTATTAATTTTATTTTGGATAAAATATTTACATTGTGAATTATATGTATATAGATAGATACATAAATATAGATATAAATATGTATACATACATACATACCTACACACATTGTCTTAGATGCTGTATTCAATCATATATTTCTTGAGATTAGTGACTGAATCTTCGTATCTTTGTATTCTTTGTAGGGCCTGGCATAGTGTCTTGAAAATAGTAGAAGCTCATTGAACACAGAGATAACTTGATTTGCTTGTGAATTCATGAAAATAATTGGCTTGATTTTTATCTTAATTACCACTTAGTAGAATTTAATGCTATTTTGCTACTTTGAGTTAATGCTCAAATGATGCTATTTTGAGTTCTCTTTGATGGGAAATAGTACAGATTTTTCAAAACTAATGATGTGTTTTCTGCAAACAGTAAGGTAGTTGTAGAATATATACTGGAATTTATGGAGTTGTTAAGTAGGATGATTTAATGCCTTATGTTTTCTCTTTTAGCTTATTTATTTTAGGCAAGGGCATGAAGCTTATGTGCGTGCTGTAAGGAAGTCAAAAATATATAGTGTTAATTTACAGAAACAGCCATGGAATAAAATGGATCTCAGGGTAAGTTTTTCAAATTCATAAACTATGCAGTTGATAGTTTCTTACTTTACCCATAAGGTTTTTCTCAGTATAATTCATATATAGAACTGGCTCTGATGGGTCATTTGTTGTATGTTTCCCAAAATTTTTATGACATTTTCTTCATTATTTGACCTAATTTCCTTCAAGATTTAGATCCTGTATTCTGTTCCATTCCATACATAGAACAAAGTAAGAGTACCCTACTGTGGATATTTTCTCCATCAACAATTCTGTACGTTCTGCATACTCAACAAAGTGACAGAGTATATTGACTATGGACACTGTCAACATTCTGGAAGCTTTGGGATATATTAAATATCATAAATCACAAGAAGCTTAGAAATATGGGGTGCTTTATGGAATATCTTTTGATGTAATACCCACATAGCTATGTGACATTGAATAAATGAGATATATCTATTTATATTGAAGGATTTTCTGTCACTAAATATCTGTTCAGTCATTTATTTATATACACATATATACATACATATAGACATAGGTGTACTTGGGCCATTATTTCTGTTTAGGCTTATGTATTTTGTTCTATTTTGCTTTTCTGATTTGGAGAACAAGAATATAAAGGGCAATTTTACTATGGTCTTCCATGTTACTAAAGGATTGTTATGTCATGTTGCTTAGCAGGAAGGAACCCAGAGAGAATCTGTATATTTACTGAAGTAAAAACTTAGTTAAGAGATTTGTAAAAAAGTTGTATTAATGTTCTAAGTTGATAAAATATCAAGTAAGGTTTATTTAGTCAACTCTTGGGAGATAGGGATAGCTACCGTCTATTTTGAATCAGGTCAAAATTGAATTTAGAATTAAGGCAATGACTAAAACATAAAATTTCTTATTTCTAATTCTAACTCCAAGGTCCTAGAAAGTTAAAGGAGGTAGCATGTGTGGCATAAGAGCCTGAAGTTTTAAGCAAGTATCTATACTCCTGAGAACCAGTTTGCCATCTCTTCAGTGTAACTGATAATATATAGTGTTGTTATAGTGTAATATTGTAGGCATTCAAAAAAAGTCATCTTCTCAAATATAAACATATCATCTATGAACCTGTATGTTTACATACTTTATTCCTGCTAGGGTTGTAATTTTATGTATACAGAGCTGGATCATCCCATGGAGTGTCTTTTTAGAATATATTACTGGTCTGTAACTCAGACCTGTAGGATCAGATTCTATAAGAGTAGGGTTTAGGAACATGAATTTTAAAATGTTTTCCTAGAGGATTCTGCTGCTTTTACTTAGTGTAATGTCCTTTCCTAAACTATCGTTAACCTGCTATTAAGTATTAAGTGTCAAGAGCCATATCTTAACTACTTTTAACATTAGTCTTTGTAATAACTAACATATGGTGAGTATTCAGATAATTCTTAAATTATTCAAATAGTAATGAAATATTGTGTGAATGTTAGGTAATTATTTGTATTGAAAATAATAATTCATTTATATTTTCATGAATAGGAACAAGAGTTTGTTAAGATTGTAGGAATCAAATATGAGGTTGGACCACCTACACTATGCTGCTTGAAGCTTGCATTTCTTGACCCCATTTCAGGAAAAATGACTGGAGAGTCTTTTTCCATTAAGTAAGTAGCTATCTCTAGCTCTCTGTGTTTATATGTGTGTATTTTTTAAATTGATTTTATTCTTTTAAATACATGACAGCAGAATGCATTACAATTCTTATTACACATATAGAGCACAATTTTTCATATCTTTGTATATAAAGTATGTTCACACCATCTCATGTCTTTATACATGTACTTTAGGGGGGTTTTTTGCATTATAATTTTTATTACACATATAAACCACAAGTTTTCATATCTCTGTTTGTATATAAAGTAGGTTGATACTCAATTTGTGTCTTCATACATGTACTCTGGATAATTATGTCCATCACATTCCACCATCCTTGCTAATCACCTGCCTCCTCCCTTTTCCTCCCTCCCCTCTTCTCTATCTAGAATTCATCTATTCCTTCCATGTTCCCCCTCCCTACCCCAATACCCATTGTATATTGTGCAGAGTACAGGACTTAATAAGAGAGGAAGTACTGTAGCACTACTACCACAGGGCTTAGAGTTATAAACACTAGTGTTTAATTTTTTATTGATTTCTTTTTTTTAGAATTTTTAAAATATTTTTTAGTTTTTGGTGGACAAAACATCTTTATTTTACTTTTATGTGGTGCTGAGGATCGAACCCAGTGCCCCGCGCATACCAGGCGAGCGCGTTACCGCTTGAGCCACATCCCCAACCCTTCTTGATTGATTTCTGAATTTTATCTGTCTCTATCACTCTCTCACACACACACACACACACACACACACACACACACACACACTTATAAATGGTTAGATAGGTGGATTCATGAACAGGTTAATCAATCTTGTGTAAAATGAAAATGCTAATATGTTAATATTTTCTTCAGGATTGTTGTGAGGAATCAAAGACTAACTTTTATAAGTGCCTATTGTTGAAACAGGGTAGTTGCTTTTCTTTCTCTTAATAATAGTAGAAATAGTCAATGGCTCATTTCTTGAAGTCAAATTTCAAATCTAAGGAGATGAGAAAACTTCAATTCACACTGTTCTTTTTAAAATTTTTAATATGAAGAATTTTGTATTAAAATTTAAAAACCTTTATTAGTGCCTTTACATTATTAAAGCAATACAAGATTATGCAAAGCAATCCTAAAAATTTAAGCCAGATGGGATTTAATTTAAGTAAACATATGTCCAAGGATTATGATGTTTGCCAAATTGTTCTTGATGAGTTCCAATTAAACATATATCCTTGGACATTTAGTAAGTAATAACAGAGAGAGAGAGAGAGAGAGAGAGAGAGAGAGAGATTGATTGATTCCCATTGCTTTATTTTCTGTACAGGTATCATGACATGCCAGATGTCATTGATTTTCTTGTGCTACATCAGTTTTATAATGAAGCCAAAGAAAGGAACTGGCAGATTGGTGAGTATAGAACTCCTGCTAATAACTATTAAACTTAAAGTAGAATAAGTAAAGTTTTAACTCTAAGTTAATAGAAAGAATGTAGTTTAATGTTTAGTTGAAGAAAGCTGTTAGCCAAACTAGGAAAATTCAGTTAAAATTTCTTTTCCAGATTAAGTGATTTTATGCATATTGTGTAGTATGTATAGTAGTCCCCGCCCCCCTTATATGTTGTTTCACTTTCTGTACTTTCATTTGCCTGTGGTGGTAAAATAGAAAATAGAAAATCCAAAAATTTAAAAATTTCATAAGTTTAAATTGCATACTGTTTGGATTATGTGATTAAAAAATCATGCACCATCATATTCCATCCCTCTAAGGATGTGAATCATCCCTTTGTCCAGTATATCTATGTTATACTATATATCTCGTAGTTATTTAGCTATGTGTTCTGAACTCTCCGTATCATGGTGCTTGTTGTGATCAGGTAATCCTTACATAGTAAACTAAGACTAATTTCATCTTACCATGTAAACAGACATTTTATCATCTCACATTATCATAAGATGGGTGAGTATAATAAGATTTTGCAAGAGAAAAACGCATTCACATAATTTTTGTTACTATATATTATTATTATTCTCTTATTGCTACTCTCTTACTGAGCTTAATTTATAAAATAAACTCTATCCAGTATGTATGTATGGGGAAAAAAATCAAATACAGCTGGCTATCTGAATTCATTGTTTCTGCGTGTGTGAATTCAATCAACCATGGATCAACAATATTTTTTTAAAAATGCATCTGAACATGTACATTTTTATCATTATTCACCAAACAATATAGTATAATAGCAGTTTATATAAAATTTACATTTTATTAGGAATGGTAAGTAATCTAGAAATCTAAAATATATGGAAGGATTCTGTAGATTATGTTCAAATACTATACTGTTCTTAAGAATCTGCATTTATGAATATCTGTTAGAGAACTGTTGAGCCAATGCCTCACCAACGTCAGTGTACCACTATGTTGGGTTTGGTGATCTCTGCAATTTCGGGCATCCATTGGGGGTCTTAGAGAATACCTCTTGTGAATCGGTGGGGACTACTTTAGTCTCTAAACCTTGGGCAAATACCTACTCTATTAATAATACAAATCTGAATTAAAGAAAATTCTGAACTGTCAATTCCCCTAGGGAGTATTTTCATACATGGGCTTTTAAAAACACTATTGTTTATTGGGGTTTCCTTTTTTTCCTCCCTTCCTCCTCTTTCTCCCTCCCTCTTACCATTGTTTCTTTCCTTTAGCCCTAACTCTTCTGCCCTCTTTTTCTTTTCTCTGATGAAAAGAAGCAATATAATACTAGTATGAGGGAATTTTTTAAAGAAATTAGTTTATAGCTCTGTCATTATTAATACAGAACATAAGGCCTTTAATACTATTGGCATTTTTCACACATTTCCATATTTTGCCTATAGTTTTAATATATTTTTGTTCTGGCTGTGTCACTTATTAGCTCATTGATCTTGGGCAAGTTTTCAATCCCTCTATGGCTTACTCCCTTTATCTTTAAAAGGGAAATTATATCAGTGCACACCTATAATGTTGATGTAATCAAGGAAGAGATGTAATATATAGAAAGCACTTACACAGTGGTTCCTGATACAAACTAAAAACCATGTGAATATGTGCTCATTAGTGTTTTTACATTCTTCAGTGTATAAGGAATGTTTTTTCCATAGAGGTTTGGTTTTTTAATACTTAGCTATTTAAAGGCAGAATACGAGTATAGGTTGAGCACCCATATCTGAAAATTCAAAATGCTCCAAAATCAAAAACTTTCCTTTGTCCATTTTTTTTTAATTCACAACAAATCTTTGGTTATAATTTGACATTTGTTTTATATCCAAATATATCACTTCATCCATTAGTAATTTTTATCTTATTTACAGTAGCCTGTTTTTCAGCATTCGCTTATTTCTTTTATTCTTTTTAGATATACATACAATACAGTAGAATGCATTTTGACCTTTTAATACATGTATTATAACTTATTCTAGTTAGGATCCCATTTTTGTAGTGGAACATGATGTGGAGTTATACTGGTCATTTACTCATATGAACATAGGAAAGTTATCTCCCATTCATTGTACTGTCTGTTCTATTCCCATCTTCCCTCCCTTCCCTTCATTCTCCTTTGTCTAATTCAGTGAACTTCTATCTCCACCCTTATAGAGAACCAAAATTGAAAACTTTCTAAGATGAATAGAGCATTTCATATTTTAGGTTTTTGGATTAGTGATGTTCAACCAGTAACATCTTTGCAAATATTATATAATACAAAAAACTCAAATTGGAAACACTTCTAGATGCAAACATTAGTTAGCCTGGATGAAGAGATTTTTAAAGGCAAAAAACTAAAAACAAAAAAAAAAGAAACAGCTGTAGCCTTAGCACTGAAAAAAAAGGTAAAGAAACTACATTAACATACATTCCATACACTAAGGGTTATGCATAATGATATTCATTAAAGTTAAATTATGTTTGTAGTATTTTCTATGAAGACATAAACATGTATGATGTACTTGAGAAAAATTCTACCACTTGGAAATTAAAATACTTGAAGAGGGTAAAATGTAAAATTCACTTATTTGGAAAACTCATCTTGAAAAATCTGGTAATACCAGATATAGTGCTAATTACGTGTTCAAGAAAAAATAGCAATTTACACTGGGTACAAAGCTGATATTTTTCAAGAGCACTCTTTTTGAAATTTTAATCCTTATAGGTGATAGATTCCGCAGTATAATAGATGACGCCTGGTGGTTTGGGACTGTAGAGAGTCAGCAACCTTTTCAACCAGAGTATCCTGATAGTTCTTTCCAATGTTACAGTGTTCAGTAAGTATAGTTATATATTTTTTTGCCTGATATAATACTGTCGTATAATATGGACTTTAAATAAACACTACCATTAATAATAAATTTTTATCTGAATTACTACTCTTATAATAACTATAAGGAAGTAAGCATAGTACCTACTGGAAAGAATTTGATGGTAAACTATTTGTGCCACTGTGCATACTAAAACCAGGCAAATACTAAAAGCATTTCCCTTGTTGTTTACCTTTTCTCTTAAGTATTTCTTCTTTTTATATTTTTGTGGTAATGGGGATTGAACCCATGAACACTCTACCACTGACCTACATCTATATCCCTTTTGACTTTCCTCCATGGCCTTTAATTTTTCATGCAGGGTCTTACTAAGTTTCTGACGCTGGATTCCAATCTGAAATCCTCCTGCCTCAAACTTCCAAATTGCCAGGATTATAAACATATACCACTATACCTGGCATAAGTCTTTCTTCTTTAAAGAATTGAAATTATTTTCCCATAGAGAATAGTGAAATTAAATCAATGTTTAAAGTAATTGTTATATCTGTAGTATAGCAGTGAATATTACTACTTAGTCTGTTATTTAATGACATGAATTCTAGGTAGAGCTGACAGCATTATATTTTGAGATACTGTTTGTTTGCAATATTAGTTTAATTGTTCTGGAAATCCCAGAATTGTAAGGTTCCTAATGAATGAAGCTTCTCAAAAATGATGGAAAAAATGTTCATTTTGTGAGGATTGCCTTTAAAGCCACTATATTACAGATAAAAAGAGAAGATTAAAATTTTGAAAGTGCTAAAATACTTAAGATATTGGGATAAATTAAGAAGTGATCCAATAAGACATTGTAGCGCCCAACTATAATCTAAGCTACATTGGAGGCTGAGGCAGGAAAATTTTCAAGGTTGAGGCCAGCCTGAACAACCTAGTGGGACCTTTTATCAAAATAAAATAGAAATGGCTGGGGAAGTAGTTCAGTGCTAGAATACTTACCTAGCATGTATGAGGCCCCAGGTTCAGACCCTTGTACTGAAGGGAAAAAGAGAGATTGAAAGAAGTGGAGTGAAAGAAGTGATCCATTATACCAACTGTTTTCACCTGAAAGATATTTGCTTTCTTTTCCCTGGCTTAATAGTGAATATATGCTCATTTGGAACAAAAGATAAATAAAATACTAGGAATAGGCTTACTAACCACTAAGTTTCATTTTGGTGCATGTTTTCTCTAGCAGTGGTTTATTATTATCTTTACTTAAACAGAGCTGAACTTTAATGATTACTATGTTTCCCTTTTCTAAATTTCACCCTCCTAGAAGTCATGCAAATTATACTAATATATGAATGGATGCACTTGTAAACTTAATTTTTATCTCATTGTTTTTCAATAGCTGGGACAATAATGAGAGAGAAAAGATGAGTCCCTGGGATATGGAGCCAATTCCAGAAGGAAGTAAATATGCTTTTAAAGTCAAATTATAATTCTTTTAAAAATAAAATTACTATAATATGATATTAGACACTAATCATTTCTAATTTTTCATCTTAATACCTAGCTGCCTTTCCAGATGAAGTTGGTGCTGGTGTTCCTGTTTCCCAAGAGGAATTGACTGCTTTGCTATACAAACCCCAGGAAGGAGAGTGGGGGGCTCATTCCAGAGATGAGGAATGTGAAAGAGTTATTCAGGGCATAAACCACCTTCTTTCCCTGGGTATGGTAAATGCATAAATAAATAAATAAACAAATAAATAAGACAACTGAAGGAAGCTAAGCTGAGCAGAATTTTAAGTTCTATAATAGGAAATGCATTTTCTTACTGACACTAGTTTTGATATTAATATTTTTTGTGGTGCTGGGGATTAAACCCAGGGCCTCACACATGCCAGGCAAGCACTTTTCCACTCGGCTATATCCCCAGCCAAATATTAACTTTTTGTATGCTTGGTCAAAATAATGACTGATAAATATTTTCAGTATTCTGGGGGATAATATTGAAGGCAGGCATGTAAGTGTCTTTTTCTTTCTTGAGTCATTTTGACTCTCTAGCTGCTAATTTCCTGAACCTGATCTTGGATGGGGTTCCTTGATAAAGACAGTGTGTGAATAATGTATTTACCCACATGAATAGTTATGTTTTCAGAAATATATTATTTAAAAAGTTTTGTTGTTTTATCTATAAAAGACTTAGCAGTCTAAAGTTCAACATGGTGCTCCTTTAATTTTGTTTTCTTTTACCTGAGTTTAACTAGTGTATTGTGCATGATTCATCAATATTATGTCAAATAAAAAGAAAAACATACAATTGAATCATCATTGTTTTTGAATTTAGAATTTTGCCCTTATTTATTTATTACTGTTAACATTTAATATTAGTGTCTTTTATAACTATTTTTGATTTTGGTAATTTTGTAGATTTTGCCAGCCCTTTTGCTGTTCCAGTGGATCTCAGTGCCTACCCCTTGTATTGTACTGTAGTTGCTTATCCAACTGACCTCAATACCATCAGGCGGAGACTTGAAAATCGCTTTTATAGGTTTGTTTAGTTTTATTTAAAAATCCAGTTTTATGTCTATGACTTGCTTTTTTGAGATCGTGTTTTTGTGGTATTAAATAATCATCCAATGACTCACTCTAAAATTTCTTCTAAAACTGTGGAACACCAATTTTCTTTTATTTAATCGGTTTCCACTTTTCCAAGGTGAAAAGGGTATAGGGAAGGAAGACAAAGAGGAAAACATGGGTAGCATGCATAATTAGGTTGTAAAATGAAAAGTGAAGTTAACTAAGTTTATTAAAGGCAAATTAGATATTTTATGGATTCATCATAATTAAGATGCTACAGAAAGCCAGGCACAGTGCTGCACACCTGTAATCCTAGCCATTCTGGAGACTGAAACAGGAGTATTTCAAGTTTTAGGTTGGCCTGGACAACTCAGAGAGAACCTGTCTGAAAATTAAAAATAAATAAATAAAGAGGACTACAGATGCAGTTGAGTTGTAGAGTGCTTACCTAGAATGTATGAGACTCTGGGTTCAATCCCAAGTACTGAAAAAGAAGAGAAAGGGGGAGGGGAGAGGGAGAGGGAGAGGGAGATTGTACATAGATATAGAGCATGTCTAAATCTTCTTTGGGGCATTAGGTAGTAGTTAATTAGGTTTAATAACCATGTAGTAAAAGAACCAAGTTACTTTTTCCTTGGTTTTGGTCAGGAGGGGAATGATTATGGGAGGTTTTGGAAGATAGTTCTTTGTTCTTCTCTATTTGAAGTCCACTTCATCCTAATCTTAGTATCCCATGAACTGGTTAGTCTGCCTCTTATAATTAAGAATTGAATGTATTTTTACAACATTTTCATATTTTTCAATACTAAATATTATGAACAATCTGTCTTTCTGCATAACCTGGTTTATTTTTTTCTTTGTCCCCTTCTTCTGAAACGAAACATTATTTTGTCTTTATCACAACACACCTTTTTTTTATTGGTTGTTCAAAACATTGCAAAGCTCATGATATATCATCTTTCATACATTTGACTCAATTGGGTTATGAACTCCCATTTTTACCCCAAATACAAATTGCAGAATCACATCAGTTACACACTCACGTTTTTACATAATTATCAAATCACTCTTTACCCACAGTGTCCTGGATCAGTTCTCTTCTAGTTTTAATAGGCTGTCTAGTATTTCAAAATTCCCTCCAGTGCTTTAAATCCTGAAATTGTTCATCCCTTTTTTTTAGCCTTCATCAGTTACATATTTGAGACATTAATATATTGGATCTCCTTTGACATAAAATGATTAAATGCCTACTTTTTCTGTTGCATATTCTTAGAATGTAGTTTAAATGTATCAGACAAAGGTAACATAGGATATTTTTTCTTTTGTAGGAGAATATCAGCATTAATGTGGGAGGTGCGCTACATTGAGCATAATGCTAGGACTTTCAATGAGCCAGACAGTCCTATAGTTAAAGCAGCCAAAATTGTAACTGATGTTTTACTTCGATTTATTGGGTAAGAAGCATTTGTTTCCTTCTAAGAGACTAACTTACAGCTTTTTAAAAATTATTGAAATGGCTGGGCACAGTGATGTAGATCTGTAATTCTAGGTACTTAAGAGGCTGAGGCAGAAGGATTGCTGCCAGCCTCAGCAACTTAATAAAGACATAAGCAACTCAGAGAGACACTTTCTCAAAATAAAAAGGGAAGGGGATGTGGTTCAGTGGTTAAGCCCCTCTAATTCAATCCCCGATACCATAAATAAATAAATAAATAAATAAATAAATAAATAAATAAATAAATAAATAAATAAATGAATGAATGAATAAATAAATAAGTAGAAATGTATTTTGACTTGTTTCTTAGGGATCAGAGCTGTACTGATATACTGGATACTTATAATAAAATTAAAGCAGAAGAACTAAACAGTACTGATGGAGAGGAGGTAAGAATCATAGTATGATAAATAGTAATGAATTCATTTTCTGTTATTTGGAGTATAGTAAGTGTCATACATAAATATTACAATTGGCTGTAAGCAGTAAAAGATTTTTGGAAGCTGACTGTTTTTTGTCAAATCACTCTTTACATTGCTGGATCTTGGGGGAAAGACACTGGCAGAGTCTGTAAGAATCTATATGCAGTTTTCCATCTATTATCTCTCTCCTATGAGGTCATTCTCCTAGAAATGAAAATGAAGCAATCTATATGTTATTAGATGCTTAGTCCTCAAGGATTTTATTAGTTGCTAGTTATGTAGAAACTTATCTAACTAGCACATACCAAGATTTCAGATTCCCAGGAGAAAGCAGGTATCTAGCACAAATCACATTGTTTATACCACCTCCATAATAAAGGAAATTTCCAAATGTCAGCCATGGGCTAACCATTTAAGTGAAGCCCTGCTAAAGACATATTAAATGCTTTGACCTATATTCAGATGGACTATACAAAAATATAATCATGCTAGAGGGTTTATTCAAGGTCAGGAGGCCAGTCATCCTATATAACTCCGTGAATTTCAGTAAGGAGAAATTAATACTTTATTTTCTGATCCTTAAAAAACATGACAAAGCACTCAATATTTTAAAAGAATATCTAGTTGATGAAAATTTGATTCGGGGTTTTATTTTCTATGCATTTTATGTAAAATATTAAATTATTTTATAATGATAGATTAAACATCTAAATATTTAAGTTTCATGAAGTTACAGCTTTATTTCTTTCTTTAAATTTCTAAATATAAAGTAGTCTTTGCTGAATAAAATGGAATTTATATTCTCAACAGAATTTCACATATGTGTTTCCTTACCAATCATTGTTCCTAACTTACATAAAACCATATTTGACCAGAGTTTATGATGGAAACCAAAACAAGATAAGAAATTGGAATAATATTGAAAACTGGTAATTCAAAATTTTTACTGAGAAACAGTTCATCCCAGGGAGAAATGACTCAATTATGCTAGATCTTATTGCAATGGCATGAAATATTTTACATGTTTATTTTGGTGTGTGTGTGTGTGTGTGTGTGTGTGTGTGTGTGTGTAGTATTGGGAATTGAACACAGGGCCTTATGCATACTAAGCAAGTCCCTATCTCTGAGCTACATCCCGGCACTTTTTTTCCTTTTATGAAAGTATATGACTATAAAGCATTGTATTATTGGGGTTAAATCTTATTTTCATAATAATAACAAGGAAAACACGATACACAAATTAGATATTAGCCTCTTGAAAGCCAAGAAAAGTTTATCATTATCATTCCCTCTATTTTCTCTGACCTTTTTCATAAATGTATTTTAACATAGGATTTGATGTTTCAAGAATTTTTTGTCAAACTAGCACTACTTGGATTAGGATAGATAACTAAAGTAAAATATAATTTAACAGCTTTGTTTTTTAACTACTGATATTAGAAAGGAATATAAATAGTTCATTAGTTACTTTACTAGTAGCTCTTAACCTATGTGCTTTGCCATCACCAGTGGTATAGGCCTTGACTAATTGTATTAAAAAAACTATCCCTCAGGGAGACAATTAACTGAACCTCTGGCTAAGTAAAAAGTTAAATTTCCCTATAGAAAAAAGATCTATTCCTTGAAATAACAAATAATTGACTATGAGTATTTTCTAATTTTATTAAGTGAACATGTCATCTATAATAAAGTTTTATAAGAAATACTAACACAGATAACAACGTTCTCCAGTTACTACAACTTTTCTGTTGTTTCCTTTTCTAATTTGAAGAGAAACCTTGTTAAGTTCTCCCAATATCCTTTTCAAATTGTTCACAGTATATTCGCAAAGTTTGGGGTAAGTCTCCCTTCAGCCTTTGTTTTGTTGCCTGCTCCACTGAGGAAAGTTGATTATGATTATATTCGCCATTTACTTGTAGGTTTCTAGTTTGTAAAACTTAACATCTCCTCATACTTTCCTCTTTTAACTTAGGATACAGAAATGGTTGATTTAGATTCAGATGGTCCTGGTACTTCATCTGGAAGAAGGGTAGGTAACTAAGTGAACTACTGAGAAGAAACATTTTCAGACTCACTGTGTCAGAGATTCCAAAGAGCAATTCCACATTGGAGAGTTGCTAGAAGGACTCTTGGTACTAAGGTTATAGTTTTACTCATGGCTAAGATTTTTTTTTTTACAGTAACTCAGTATGCATACATTGCTGGATCATAGGGGGAAAGACACTGGCAGAGTCTGGAGGAATCCATATGCAGGTTTCCATCTATTATCCCTCTCCTATGAGGTCATTCTCCTAGAAATGAAAATGAAGCAATCTGTATGTTATATTAGACGCTGTCCTCAAGGATTTTTATTAGGTACTAGTTATGTAGAAACTATCTAACTAGTATATACCAAGATTTCAGATTCCCAGGAGAAAGTAGGTATCTAGCACAAATCAAATTGTTTATACTACCTTTATAATAAAGGAAGTTTCCAAATGTCAGCCATGGGCTAACCATTTAAGTAAAGCCCTGCTAAAGACATTAACCTCAGGCCTCTCATGTTAACTCTTTTCTGCATATTTCTTCTCCATGATAATTAGACATGAAAGTTATTCTGTAGAAAGAACAATATCCTTTAAAATATTGAAAGAGATCATAACAGAAGGCAGCAAATTATAAGATTAGAATATCATGGCCATAAAAGATTTAGTTTTAAAAAATTGTCCTGAACAATTGATGGTGCCCTTGTCAAGTAAACTTGACTACCAAGAAATATTAAATCTATAAATCTATTAGCTTTGTATAGGAAAAGCATTCATTTCTTCTCTTTTTTGTACTTCATTTGAGATTCAGGTTTTTTTAAATAAAAATTTAGAATTCTAGAATCTTGCCATTTCTACAAATGCAATGCCTAGTGGTTTTATCTTTTTTTGTTTTGTTTTGTTTTGTTTTGTTTTCAGTGAGAATGGTATAAACTTTTAAATAGTGGCTGCTCTGTTTTATACAAATATATTAACACTAGGGATACATGAAAAAGTCAGTGAAAAGTTAAAGGCATAGCCTTTAGATATAATTCTGTTAAAAATCTATAGGTCAAATGCCGAGGCAGAAGACAGTCTTTGAAGTGTAATCCTGATGCTTGGAAAAAACAATGCAAAGAACTTTTGAGCCTCATTTATGAACGTGAAGACTCAGAGCCATTTCGACAGCCAGCTGATCCTCCTCCTTTGCCAGTAAGCATGCATTTGTTTAAATAATTGCCAATATAATAATGTTCCTTAAATGTACATGCTAGCATCTAGATAAGTACAATTTCTCCCTTTTTTCTTTATTTCCTTTCATACTTCTATCTTTAAATTAAATGATTAGTCATGACTTTTTTAAATGGCTTTCATGTACTAGGTACATAAATTATTATACATTTAAAAAACAAATTTGAATAAATTTCTTTGCTATTCTTTCCTGCTTTTATTTCAGATATTTCTTGAACACATATTGCTAATTTATGATATACTTTTATTCAGCGTGAATACTTAATTACATGTCAGTCCTATTTAGTTTATAATAAAAACATGGTCACTAGAGTAGCCAACATACGAATATTACTTTTCAACAAACATTAAAAACATGAGAAAGTAGGTTATAGGATTTCTCCTCTAGGAATGTATCTATTTATATGTTTCATTACCTTTTATTAAATAACAAGTCTTTTTTAAACTTTTTCATAAAAAAATATGACAATATTTCAGAAATACATCAGAGCATCAGCTAAGCTTAATAATACATATTCTCTGTATTCATGGGATTCAGTTTGGAAAGGATATTTAAGGAACAATATTATGTTAGATAAAGCTCATTTTGTTTTTTGTTTTTAGAGAGTTTGGGCAGAACACACTAGTCTTATTTTTTATAGCAGAAAATAATGGTGAATGCAGAATTCCTTCACATTAAAGTACAACCTATAAAATATTATTTCTATTTTTGGATTTTTTAGCCTTAAGTTATAGTTGTATTACAAGACCTGATATTTTTGTAGTGGGGAAAAAATGCATGATCTTTACCCTAATAGGGCCATCAAGAGCAAGAAGGAGAATCCTCAGAGTCAGTTGTTCCAGAAAGACAACAAGATCCATCTCTTTCTGAGGTAGGCTTATTTGCCTTTAAAATAGTGGTAAAATTGGTGGTTGTTTTGTATGTGTTTTTTTTTTTTTAAATACTATGTCCTTTGTAACTTGTTAAAATTGCCTTCCAATTCTGTTTTCTTCTCATATTTGTTCATTTTTATCTTTATTTTTTGTTTTTAACAGTTTCTTAAAGTTGTTCCTTATAGTATCCATGTACATGTTTATTTTTTTATATAGACTAACCAAAAATTGCCTTTATAAAAATATTAGTGTTTCATAAACCATGTTTTGTGAGAATATTCTTTTGGACTTTTTTCTGATTTAAAAAATAAGATAATACATTTAGAGCAATTAAGGGTTCTCATTCTTTGGAAAATGTTGTCTTCTCTTATTTAGAATACATTTTCTCTGCCCCTACTTCTGGCTCTTTTAATTTCTTCTTTAAGGGAAATGTGATTTTACTTTTTAATCCCTCTAAGTAGAATGAGAGTTCTAATATTGACTGTGGGTTTTACTTCAAAACTTAAATATTGAGGATTATAGCATATGTATATAGATATAAATACCAAATACTATTCCAAATGATAACTCTAATATTAGCTAGACTTGAAATCTTTTAATTTAATATGGAATCTTCCCCTTTTCCTAAAAAAATCAAACTAAATTCTGAACTTCTAAGCCAGAGGATTTCAGATGAAACAAAAATAACACATTGATTAAAAAATTAAAAAAAAATGCACAAAGTCCTGGGTTAAATCCCTAGCACCACATACAAACACAGACACAGATATCAGAAAGGAGAATCAGAGGTGTTGCTCAGTTCTACAGAGCATGCCTGGTGTTCAAAAGACCTTGTATTTGGGGTAAAAAATGGGAGTTCATAACCCACTTGAATCAAATGTATGGAAGATGATATGTCATGAGCTTTGTAATGTTTTGAACAACCAATAAAAAAAAAAGACCTTGGGTTTAATTCCTGATATCTTAGTACTACCCAAAAGATGAAAAATAGAAACTAACACCTGGAGATTAAATAATACACTTTTGAATGATGAATGGATACAGAAATAAAAAATACTTAGAGATAAATGAGAATAATGAAATAACATATCAAAACCTCTGTAACAGGTATGGGCTTGTGGCTCAGCGGTAGAGCACTCACCTAACGTGTGAGGCCCTGGGTTCAATCTGCAGCACTTCATAAAAATAAATAAATAAAAATAAAGTTATTGTGTCCAACTACAACTAAAAAATTAAAAAAAAAATCTCTTTGACCGTATAAAGATCATAGCATTGAGCTGATAAACTAAAAGAATAGAAAGATACCAAATAAATAATCTAACATCTCAAGGCCCTAGAAAAAGAAGAACAAACGAACAGCAAAATCATTAGAAGACAGGAAAAATTAAATCAGAGCCGAAATCAATGAAATTGGGATAAAAAATACAAAAGAGCAACAAATCAAGGGGTTGGTTTTTGAAAGGATAACCAAAATTTATAAATGATTAGCCAAAATATCAAGAAGAGGAAAAAACTCAAATTATCTGAGATGAAAAAGGAAATATCACCCAGAAACTTAGGAAATCCGAAGGATCATTAGTATTATTTTGAAAATTTATATTCCAATAAGCTAGAAAATCTTGATGATATGAACAAATTCCTAGAGATATATGACCTACCCAAATTGAACAAGGAGGATATAGAAAACTTAAACAGATTGATTTCTAGTAATGAAATTGAAGTAACAATCAAAAGCCTTCCGAAGTCAAGGACCAGATGGATACTCAGCACTAAGTTTTATGAGATCTTCAAAGAAGAACTAATACTATTGTCCTCAAATTATTTCATGAAATAGAAAAGGAAGGAACTCTGTCAAATTCATTTTATGCACCCAGTATCACCCTGATACCAAAATCAGACAGATACATCAATGAAAGAAAACTTCAAACCAATACACCTGATGAATGTAGATGCAATAATGCTTAATAAAATATCGGCAAACTGCATAAAAACACATTAATAAGTTAGTACACTTGGGCTGGGGATGTGCCTCAAGCTACCGCTTGAGTTACGTGCTCTCCTGGCATGCACAGGGTGCTGGGTTCAATCCTCAGCACACATAAAAGAAAATAAAGATGTTGTGTCCACCAAAAACTGAAAAATAAAAATAAATATTAAAAAATTTTCTCTGTGTGTCTCTGTCTCTGTCTCTCTCTTTAAAAAAAAGTAATCAAATGGGTTTCATCCCAGGGATTCAAGATTGGTTCAGAATACAAAAATCAATAAACGTAATTCACCAGATAAATAGGCTTAAAGATAAGAATTACATGATTATCTTTATTGATACAGAAAAAGCATTTGACAAGGTACAGCACCTGATCATGTTTAAAACAGTAGAGAAACTAGGGATAGAAGGAGCATACCTCAACATTGTAAAAGCTATATATGACAAACCCAAGGCCACCATTATTCTTTTTTTTTTCAAAGAAAAGTTTGCTTTTTTAATTATATTTATTTTTATTTATAGGTGGACACAATATCTTTATTTTTACGTGGTGCTGAGGATGGAACCCAATACCTCACACATAGTAGGCGAGTGCTCTACCTCTGAGCCACAACCCCAGCCCAGGCCAACATTATTCTTAATGAGAAAACTCAAAAGCATGTTCTCTAAAATCAGGAACAAGACAAAGCCCACTTTTACCACTCCTATTCAACTTAGTCCCTGAAACACCAGTCAGAGGCATCTGATAAATAAAGAAAGTTAAAGACATATAAATAGGAAAAGAAGAGCTCAAATTACTTCTATTTTCCAATAACATGATCTTAGAAGATCACAAAAAAAACTACCAGAATAGTTCTAGAATTCATAAATAAATTCAGAATAGTGGTATACAAAATTAACACCCATGAATCAGTCACGTTCTTATATACCTTATATATTATATACCTTCTGAAAAAGAAACTAGAAAAAGTATCCCATTCACAATAGCCTCAAAAAAATAAAATACTTGGGAATCAACCTAGTACAAAAGAGGTGAAGGACCTCTAAAAATGAAAACTATAGAACACGAAAGAAAGAAATTGAAAAAGACTTTAGAAGTTGGAAAGACCTCCCATGTTCTTAGATAGGCATAGTTAGTATTGTAAAAATGGCCATATTACCAAAAGTGCTATATAGATTCAATAGTGATTCCCATCAGAATCCCAATGATGTTCTTTATGGAAATAGAAAGAACATTCATGAAATTCATTTGGAAAAACATGAGACCCAGAATGGCCAAGACAACCATTTTGTTTGCAAGAAAAGTAAAGTAGGAGGCATCACAACACGGGACCTCAAATTATACTGCAGAGCTATAGTTAAAAAAAAAATTATGGGTACCAAAAAAAGGTATGGAGAATAATGGAATAGAATAGAAGACACAGAGACAAACCCACATAATTACAATTATCTGATACTTGACAAAGGTGCTAAAAACATACATTGCAGAAAAGATAGCCTTTTAAACAAATGGTGCTGGGAAAATTTAACCTCTTTCTCTTACCCTATACAAAACTCAAAGTAGATTAGAGACCTAGGAATTAGAAGAGAAGAAAATGTAGGACCAACACCTCCAACATGTCAGCTTAGGAATAGGCTAAAAAATGTTTTAAAAGGCTAGTTTTTACATTTAAAAAATCATAAATGGAACCACTATTTGACCTAGCTATTGCACTACTCACACTGCTCAGTTTATATCCAAAGGATTTAAAATCAGCATACTACAATGATGCAGACACATCAATATTTATAGCAGCACTATTCACAGTAGTTAAGCTGTGGAGCCAATCTAGGTGCCCTTCAACAATTGAATAGATACAGAAAATGTGGTATATATACACAATGCAGTTTATTCAGCCGTAAACGAAAATATAATCATGTCCTTTGCAGGAAAATGGATGGATCTGGAGACTATCATGCTAAGTAAAATAAGACAGTCCTCAAAATCCAAATGTCAAATATTTTCTATGATATGTGGAAGCTGACCCAAAATAAGGTGTGGGGAGGAAATAAAAAGAATTGAAGAAAGATCAATGGAGTAGACAAAGGGGAATGAAAGGAAGTGAAGATGGATGGGACTGAGAAAGATAGTAGAATAAATCTGGCATAACATTCCTATGTAAATATATGAATATACCACAGTGTATCACACCATCAATTACATCCACTAGACACTAATTAAAAGTAAAAAACTATGAATAGCAGAAAGATCACTATAGTAGTAGGATGAGAGCAGGGGAGGATAAGGGGACCGAATATAAGACCTGGATAAGAGTAAATTATATTCCATGTCTTTATAATTATGTCAGAATAAATTCTATTGTTATGTATAACTAAAAAGAACCAATAAAAAGGAGACAAAAAGTACAGAGAAAAAGAAATATAGATCTTCAGTTGCTAATTACTCTTCAAGTAAAAATGTCCTCATAGCTGGAAAACTTTGGAAATACATAGCTAATTTGTATAGAGGAACCATTTATTTATGCATGCACAATTCCATCTTCTCTAATTAAACAGTTGGCCAAATGTTGGAAGTTACATCAGCCTTTAAGCAGGAAATTGAATTCCATATTGTGGACTCTGGGAAAATAAAGCCATTGACTATGTATTTTATATTCTATGCCTTCAAAATAATGTATGATTAAAGACTGCGTTGGTAGGATTAAGGCTCTTCCATAGACCCTACATTTTTTGCTATAAACCAAATTATGGTTTGGAGCTGGGGGAAGGTAGTTGGCAGGTTGAAAAATGATGTGTTCATTTCATGGTAGATTACATTGGTATGTAATGCAAATCTCCGTCCAATGTATTATTTACTATTGTTATGTAGTTTGGATATTTAAATGTAATACATTATTCTTTGTAGGATTATCAAGATACACCTATGGACTTCAGCACTGTGAAAGAAACTTTAGAAGCAGGGAACTATGGTAGTCCTCTGGAATTTTATAAGGATGTTCGCCAAATATTCAGCAACTCCAAAGCTTATACCTCTAATAAAAAATCAAGGGTATGAAAAACACTATTAGATGGGTTAATTAAGCATTTAATGACATACATAACTGGCAGTTTTCTTCCAACGTTTTTGAAATTGCTAATTAAGTATTTACCACTTCTGACATAGTTACTGAGATTTAGTTTTCAGTATCTTCTCTGAAATGTGTATTTTTTATTATGCATACATAAAGTTACATTTAACATAATCATACTAAAATGAAGCACATTTTTCTTTCTTATATCTACCTTTTCTTTAGTCTTTAATAATACTTACAACTTCCACAGAAAAGAGAAGGAAAGAAGAGATATAAATTTGAATGCCCTTTAATATATCCAATAAATTACTCATTAAATATAATGGTAGTTGATGGTATTAATTTCTGTAAAACTTTTTGATTAGCTCTGAATGTTTATGTTACCTTTATTATAACAAACAGTGAACCACGTTGGGAAATTTTAACTGTTCATTCATACTCACATATAATAATACCTTATATTTTGACAGAGCTTAAAATACCATGAGGACAAAAATAATAATAATATTTTTTGTCTGTTCACTGGTATCTCATTAAATTTTAAGTGAGTTACATAGTATGTATATTTGCCCATTCATTCTAAATTCTGGAGGCATAGTTTTTTTCATATTTTCTTTTTATCCTTTAATCATGATTGTTAAGAGTGATATACATTTTTTCGTAGAAAGTTTGGGAAATACAGAGAAGTAAAAAGAATTATGTCAAATCCTATTGGCATGTATAACTAAAAAGACCAATAAAAATGAAAAAAGAAAAAGCAATCAGCTATATAGCTCATTTTTTTGTTTACAGTTAATATTTAATACATATACTAAAAATGTTTCTTATTAACACATATCCTCACATATGTTTATGTATTCTTTTAAACAGTAGGTTTTATGTTTTAGGATCTTTATTATTTATATGTTATAACTCTGTGAAAAGAAGATTTTCAATGGTATTCTTTTGTGGTTATTTTATATTATTTAACCACTGCCTGTTGCTAAAGATATAGGTTTTTCCAGTTTTTTACTTTATCTGAATAATGGTTATGGCTAACATTTTAAATATCCTTGAACATAATTTTGCGTTCAATTCCCTAATATTTTCATAAGACACATTCTCAGAGGTAAATTTATTAGCCAAAGATATGCATATTTTTATGTTTATGGTACCTCTTATAAATTGTCCTTTAGAATATTACTCCAGATAAAATTTCCTCAATGTTTGATTCTTTTTTTCTATTCTTCAGAATAACTAAATACGTGTTTTCAAAATATTCATTAATTTTGTTGTGAAAATATGTCTTGTTTTTATTCTTCAGGAAGAGTTTCTCAAGTAAATAAATAAAGTGTATATTTGTTTGAAATGATTATGCTATATTGGTCCAGCCATATTTGTACCATTTTTTTACATAATTAAAGTAATTGGTAAAATTTCTGCCTTTTCAGATCTATAGTATGACACTTCGACTATCTGCCTTATTTGAAAATCATATTAAAACTATCATCTCTGAATATAAGTCAGCAATCCAGAGTCAGAAGAGGAGAAGGCCACGGTACAGAAAACGTCTAAGAAGCAGCAGCAGTTCCTTATCTAGTACCAGAGCTCCTAGGTATATTATACTGATGCAGCATTCATTTTCTGGTTTCAGAACACTTTGTATGTATACCTCATTTCTCAAAGTTTATAAATAGTTTGAGGAAATCCTAAGTGGTCATTTTTCCCAGAACTCTTGTTTCTGGGTAAGATGGATTTAGTAACCAAAGCATTGTTTATGTGGATTTTACTGTACCAAATTCTTTAAGAAAAATTATTAAACAAAGCTTAAATTTATCAAATTACAAATTTGAATCAATTCAAAGCTTGAATTTGGGGGTATTTCCTCTTTAGTCAACTTAAGCATTTTATAGAATACTGTCTATCATTATTTGTTATTAACAGAAAAAAAATGTTCTTCATCACATATTTTTATTTACAGTCCAAAAGGGAAACAGAAACAAATGAAGTTACAACCTAAAAATGACCAGAATACCTCAGTGACTTATGCCAGGACTAGTTCTCCTTTCTCATCTCCTGGTAAATATGTTTTTTTGCTTTAGTGTTCTGTATCTAAATTCATTATGGATATTAAGGATATGGAAGAGGTAGCATAGCTTTTAATGAAAAAAGGAATAATTTTGGTTTTAGAAAAATGTGTTTTAGTTCTAGTTCTATTTGCTTAGCAGTGTGGCCCTGGATATAGGCCACATAATTTGATTAGTTAGACAGATACATTTTAATGGCTCTTAGTTTGGGAATTCTGTGACTATATGATTTTTACTATCTATACTATTTCAGAACATTCATTCAATATTGTTGGAGATGATTTCCTTGGAGAAGATTTATCTGATATTTTGTGCTTGACAGAATGATAATTTGTCCTGAAAATATACATACTTCCTTCTTATAATAACTTATAATATTTATTTTAAAGTAAAATAGCAGATACATAGTTTTAAAAGCAGCCTATTTAACTTTCCTGAAAATATGAAATTATGTCAACCTAACAAGTTGTTTAAAATGAAAGTTTCAGATGCTGCTGAAGGATTTTCATCATATCTGCTTGATGATGAACTAGATGGGCCATTTTCTTCATCGAGCTTCAGTGGATATGGCCGAAATGGAAATAGCCATGATCCAGGAAAAGCCAAATCATTTCGAAATAGAGCTTTGCCAGTGAAACAAGGTAGGAAAAAATATGGAACAGAACATTCATTTCTTCATTCTCCTATGATGGAAGATGAATCATTTGAAAACTCATGTGCTAGAGTAGTAAAATCTAGTATGTCCTCATAGTTGTTTTTATGGTACCAGGGATTGAAACCAGAGCCTCATGCTTGCTAGCCAACCATATTTCCAACCCTTTATTTTATTTTGAGATGGAGTCTTGTTACATTGCCTAGGCTGGCCTAAAATTTGTAGATAGAGTCTCACTAATGCTGGCTTCAAACTTGATTCCCCCTGCCACATACTCCCAGGTAGCTAATATTATAGGTGTGTGCCACTGTGCCCATCATGTTTTAGTCATTTTTGGTTTTGGTACCAGGGATGGAACCCAGGGGCACTTTAACACCGAGGCACATCCCCAGCCCTTTTATTATTATTATTATTATCATTTATTTTGAGACAAGGTCTCACTATGTGGAGTTGTTGAGGCTGGCTTTGAAATCAGAATCCTCGTGCTTCAGTCTCCAGAGCCATTTGTAGTACAGGAATGTGCCACCATGCCTGGCTATGTTTTAGTCTTTTAAAATAAATAGGAAGAAAATCACTAAATGAGGAATTTTTTCCCCAAACATAGAAGAACCATACACTTAAACACATTTAGGATTTCTCATTAGTAAATCATATTAATAAGAAGGGAAAAGTTTGTAAAGTCATCTTGAAATAGTTCTCACATTTTTATGGACTATTCCAGTAAAACAAAAGTTGGCCTGAATTGAGAAATGATCCTCCTTTCAGTCAGTATCCAATTCTCCTGCCTTCCTATGGTTATCTAGTTGTATAGCTCAGATATTTTCTTCCCTAGGTGCCTGCTATATCACTAAGTTATTGATTTTCAGATTATGCCCTGGGGATACATAAAGTTACTTCAGAAATTCCCTGAGAAGTCTTACACATTTAACCAGATGAACTAAGCCATTTTATTATTTCCTATAATGATCTTCCATATAACTTTTTATTTGAAAAAAAATTTTTCAGTGTTGACAAAGAAATCATTGACCTAATTCATTACCATGTGCATCCATCTTAGTCCTTGTCAGGGACATTGATTATTATAAATACTTGAAGGTTTCATCATTACCAAAATTTTCTTATTATACTTAGTTCTATATGTTATGATCCTAAACATATTCAAAGACAGTTGTAGTATTTTCAACTATTTGAAGTTTGTGAGAATATTTAATATGTTTTTTACAAATGCTTTTATTGGAATATGGATTTAATTTTATGCACATTTTAATTGAAATCAACTATGCATAGTCTAGAGATATAATTTATATTAATGAGAAAAAATATCAAAATACCCTATTACTTGAAATTAGTGTGCCTTTGTTTTTCCCTATCCATATCTTTACTCTCTCCTCTGATTTTTTTTTTTTAAACTGGGGATTGAACCCAGGGGTACTTAACCACCAAACCACATCCCCAGCCTTTTTAATTTTTATTTTGAGTCAGGGTCTCATCATGTTGCTGAGGCTGGCTTTGAACTTGGGATCCTCCTGTTTTATCCTCCTAAGCTGCTGGGATTATAGGTGTGCACCACCATTTCCGGCTCTTCTCTGATCTTGCTATTCTTTGCAAACTCATGCTACTGCCTTCTCCCATTTTGCCCTTTCTATCATTGATATGTTTTTAGAAAGAATAGCCTATATTTCTTTCCTCTATTTTCTTTCCATCTACATATTCCTTTAGTTTTGTAACCTAGCTTCTGTTCTAACCACTTTCCAAATCTGTTCTCCTCAAAATCCCCAGTATTATTCAAGGGTCAACCCGTGTCCTTTTCTTAGTCCTTGTATTGTTTATCTTTGTATCATTGCATACAGTTGACTACCTCCTCTATGAACTTTACTTCCAGGTTTCTATACTCTTCTGATATTCTTGTATCTCTGCTTCACCTGTATTTACTTTCTTCTCTTTGGCCCTATTTTCTGTTTGCAGTTTGCCCCTGGATTTAGTTTATTTTTGTCCTCTCCAAAGAATAGAATCTAAAGACTATAACAGTTACCTTAATGCCAGTGTCTCTCCAAGTACATATGCCCAGATCAAACATCTCTTTATTATAACTGATTTCATTTCTAGTTGCTCCCTAAAAAAATTCTTCAGTGCTTAACATCTTTTCATCTCAAGTTCACTTCTTTTTGTGTGCTCATTATTTTGAGTTAATCGTACCACCTTTTTCCTATCTCACAGTTTTCTTTTGTTTTTGTGGTACTGGTGATTCAACCCAGGGCCTTCATTCATTTAGACAAGCATTGTACTACCAAGATACATCCCCAGTCTTCATAATGCATTTGACTCTCCATTTACTCCTCATATTCAGCCAGTAATCAAGTTTGATGATTTCTAATGCTCCTTTTTAAAAAATTTAGTTGCAGGTAGACACAATACCTTTATTTTTTTAATTTATTTTTATATGGTGCTGAAAATTGAACCCAGTATCTTACACATGCTAAGTGAGCACTCCACTACTGAGCTACAATCACACCCCCCACTAATGTTCTTAATACCACTGAAACCTCTTTCTCTGTTATCTGTTGCTATTATCTTGGTCTCTAGCCAAATATATTAGTCACTTTTGCTGTGATGAGTATGTTCCATATATTGGGAAACTTAAACAACAGACATTTATTGTCTCACAATTCTAGAGGCTCTCAGTCCAAGGAATCAAAATGGATAAGGGTTAGTGTCTGATGAGGGCTTTTTTGCTGGCTAATAATTGGCCACCTTCTCATTGTGTCCTTATGATCCTGTATGGAGAAAGGGGGTGGTTTCTGAGTTTACTCCTCCACCTATAATGACACCAGTCCTACTGGTGACATCCTTATGACTTTATTTAACCTTTATTAACTACCTACTTCCTTAAAGGCTCCAATTTCTATATGCAGTCTCATTAGGGGTCTGGGCCTCAACATAGAAATTTGATGGGGGCATTATTTAGTCCATAACAACTAAATTACTAGATTAAACTTATCATTGTATTCATTATACAACTCTAGTCTTTTTAGTCTACTCTTCTGTTTTCTTCTAACCTCATTGTCTGTTTCTTCTCAATTACCTTTGCTGGTTCTTCTTTACCTTTAAGTAAAACATCCCACATTGCCATCCTTGGCCATTTTCTCTATACTTGCTCTTTCAGTAAGCTCTTCCAGTTGCCATGACCCTAAATATCTCTATCTTCAGATCCATCCTTTCTCTAAGCTCCAGCTGATATATCTACCTTCTTTGTAAATTTTATTTTCCTTTTGAGGGTATTGAGAATTGAACCCAGGGCCTTACACAGGTAAGCATGTTTTCTACATGTGCATAATCTCCAATCTGTTTTTTTCTTCATTATCTTTTCTTGGAACTCTTTTACCATCCATAACTGGAAGCCTGATTTTTATAGCACCCTGCTCAAACTTGTTCCACTATAGTGTTATAACTTAGCAAAATATATCTACCATTTACACAGTTGCTCAGGCTATAAAACCAAGGAGTTAGCATTTTTTCTGCATTTTAGCACTTGATATCTAGTCCCTCAGCAAGTCCCAGCAGTTCAGCCTTTAAAAAATCAAAAGTTTACTTTGGTGTCTCCTAGAAGGAAATATTCTAAAGTTGATCTCTTTTTATCACTTCTATTGGTGCCTTCCTCATTATATATTATCCAGACTACTGAAACGGAATCCCAATCTTGTCCCCTCTATAACCTGTTCTCAATAAAACAACCATGGCAGTCAATTTAAATCAAATATTTTACTCTAGTGTAAATCCCTCCTATGTCAGTCATCGACCATCCCATTTTTCTGTTCCATTCTGATTATCTTGGTTTTCTTTATATTTCTTCTACTTGAATATTTTTTCATCAGATCACAATTCATTCAGTTCTTTCTTAAAGTCCTTTCTCAGGAGCCTGGGGGTACTTTATAGTGCTTTCCTAGCATGCTTGAGGCCCTGGGTTTGATCCCTACCATTTGAAAAAAAAATCCCACCACTTCAGAGAGGTCTTCTTTGTCTAAAATAACACTCTCACACTATTTTTAAACTCTTTCCTTTTTTTTATAGCGTATATCACTAATTGAAATTGTACTACTTATTAATTTACGTCATTATCTGTTAACCTGTCCCCAGTAAAACATAAATTACAAGAATAAGGACTTTGTCTCATTCATTATAATTCAAGATCCAAGCAGTGTCTGTGGCACATAGTTGAACAAATTAATGAAACTTTTCTGATACATATTCTCACATAATTAGTCCTAAAGGTCAGCCTTTAAAATTTCTGCCTAGGTATATCACCACCCTTCAGTCTATCTCTATATCCTAATAACCACCCTGAAAAAGCAGTCAGACAAAAATCAAAATTTCACTATCTTCCATTTCAAACAAATTTAAGTTCTTATTTTACCACCTTCCATGATTTTGCCACAACTATCTTCAGTCAGTAAATATTTTGATAGTCTGTTTATTTTACTTTTGAGTCTTAAGTAATCATCTTATCAATGTCAAAGCTTAACTTTCAAAAATCATTTTGATTTAGATCACTCCCTTGATGGACCTCTTACAAATGGTGATGGCAGAGAGCCCCGAACAGGAATCAAGAGAAAACTACTTAGTGCATCAGAAGAAGATGAAAGCATGGGAGGAGAAGAGAAAGACAAAAAAGAAACAAAAGAGAAATCACATCTATCCTCCTCAGAGAGTGGAGAGTTAGGATCAAGTTTAAGTTCAGAAAGTACCTGTGGTTCTGATTCTGACTCTGAATCAACTTCCAGAACAGATCAAGATTACGTAGATGGAGATCACGACTATAGCAAATTCATACAAACTAGACCTAAAAGAAAACTCAGAAAACAACATGCCAATGGAAAAAGAAACTGGAAGATGAGAGGCACAGGAGGAAGAGGAAGATGGGGAAGATGGGGTAGATGGAGTAGAGGAGGCAGAGGAAGAGGAGGCAGGGGACGAGGGGGTCGAGGCAGAGGGGGTGGTGGCACTAGGGGAAGAGGAAGAGGGAGAGGAGGAAGAGGTGCCTCTAGAGGAGCCACTAGAGCCAAGCGAGCACGTATTGCAGATGATGAGTTTGATACCATGTTTTCGGGACGTTTCAGTAGACTGCCTCGAATCAAAACAAGAAACCAAGGCAGGAGGACTGTTTTATACAATGATGATTCTGATAATGACAATTTTGTGTCCACTGAGGATCCTCTGAATCTTGGTACATCCAGATCAGGCAGAGTGCGTAAAATGACAGAAAAAGCCAGGGTTAGCCATCTCATGGGATGGAATTATTAACAGTTAATAAATTTAGAATAATTTTAAAAATTCAATGGCCTTCTACTGCAGGGAATTTACCAGGAAATCTATAAAGCAAGTTGTGTGGGGACTTCTGCTTCCTTTCACATTGGTGCTTTTCCATTATGCCAGTATATATTTGTTTCAAGACTTTTGATCTCCACACTTCATTTGTTCAAACAAGCCTTACTCATTAGGCCTTAAATTAAAAGAAATTCTGCCCACACACACATAGACAGACACACACATACACACATACACACATACACACAAACACACACACACACACACACACCCCATATACATACACCACATAGGCACACTACAGATTTACTACATTAAAGGAGCATTCTGCTTCTTAAGAGTAGCATGACATTTTTATCTCAATGGAATTATCCCTCTTTTGCTTTTGTATCACAGAAGTATAGCACCTTCTTACAGAGTTTTATATAGTTTGTTTTTGCCATTTTGATTCCTATACCCAGTAATAATAACTTTTGCACAATACACCAATCCTAAAGGCAGCTATTAAATGTTTACAGTTTCTATATTGTAAGAACGATCTGGATTATTTTACTCTTCCCAGGCCAAACTTTCATTAATTGTAGTGAACTGAAGTATATATTTATACTACAGTTTTTTGGGGGTGGGGGGAATCTTGATATGCTTTTCATTGATTTGCTTAATTCACATTAATGGTGAGAAAGGGTTGGTGCCTTGTAAATATGTAGCAAATCTTTGTGGTGTGTCCTGATGTGTGCATTAACTTTATTAAAAGAGAATACTTGAGGTATCAATCTAGACAAGGTGCCAAATGCAAAATTTTCTTGCATCCATTTTCTTTTTCCTATTATATTTTATTGCATTAATAGAATTTGTGTAGCTTAAAGAATAACTTAAACATTTCGAAGATCCTCATCCACAAAGAATAACTTCTTTGAATAGTAGCTCAGCTACCTCTATAAACTACAACTACTGGAAACATTAAGGAAAATAGATGCTGTTACTCATGACTAAGGAGAAGTAGAACAAGCTTGGTAGGAATGAACACTCATAACTTATAAGCTGAGAGGTTGTCAATTATTATATTGGCTCTCAAATGAATAGTTGTAATTAACAAACTTTCCTAAGTATTGTATGCTTTACCTTAGGCTTTCTTAGAACACATTTGTATAAATAGACTTGGGCTACTGCTTATATATCTCTGCTACCACTTTCTATTTAACAGCTGTGCATTACTGATTTTTATTTGAAACTTAAAATGTAACAAAGCACCTAGTTTGAGTTGGAATGTTAGGGCTAGCTAATACTTTGAATCAGTAGGTTCTGATCTTGTCATTCCAAAGGGTTCTTCTGGTCCAGTTTTTTCAGAAATGAACCTCATTGCACTGCACACTGATATTTTGAAACATTATTTTATAGATGGAAAAAAATCATTAAAACCCTTATGGTCTTGTTTACAGCAGTAGAGTGCACATGGTTCCATAAGTGAGCTTGAGTCCCAAGATCAATTTTACTCCTCAAATTTGAGAATGCAGAGTTGCTAATTTGTTAGATACTTAAATTTTGAAGTGAGAGGGATAATATTGATCTTTGTTTTTGTAACAGCAAATTTGTTGCATTTAGATCAAAACGTGTGATAAAACAGACTTCTTAATGTATACCTAGCTATCTATCCTAGGATATTTCTTAAGCTCATATGTTTGTCTCATGATTTCAATCATTTCATGCATCTGAAAATCCTTAAGTACAGAGGAAGGAGTACACACATAACTTTGCTTTTTTGGTAGGGTTGGGGGTGGGAATTATTCTTGGACTAACATCTTTAAGCAATTTTCACTTGCAGTAGAAATGATGTTCGGGCTTTAAGAAAGTATTGTTGTGAATTGTTAATGGCACTAACTTCTGTTACTAGACAATAGACCAAGCTGATATTTTTTGTTGTAGCCTTTTTTTTTTCACTAAACCAAAACTACTCTGGTTATAACTCAGCTGCCATTTTAAACCATAGTATAGATTCAAAATGTTCCTATTTGAAACTCTACGTTTGATTTTTCCTAAATGTACTACTTCAGTTATTCATCTCTTGGGCATTTAGACTCAACTGTGCCTGTGTTTTCCTGGAATCAATAATACGTTGGCCTACCCTTATCAAAATAACATAGTTGCTTAAATTCCTGGATATACCCAAATGTGTATCATGTGTATCATTTTAGTGTGAATTTTTTTGTTGTTGTTGACATTCTTCTATGAAGAGCTGACCTCTTGAAATGTAGAAGAATTGCCATTTGTGTGATCTTAGCTATCTGGAGCTTTATTTATAATTTATTTTGAATAATAAAAATGCCACATTTATTCCCCAAATGTCAAGATTTTCTAGGTTTAGGTAATTAGAATAATAAGGCTAAAACATTTTTAAGCTTATTTTATATGTAGTGAAATACTGTGAAAATACTAGTGAACAGCAATTTTGCTGTAATGTTGATTTCAGTTATTAGGATTTAAAGAGTTAGTCACCAGGGTATGTTAGGTGAGTATAGTTATCATTTATTATAAAAAAACAGATAATTTTCTGTTTGCATGCAAATTATTTTGATAAGTGTAAAAATAAAAGTTTGGGAGATATTATTTTTACTTTTTTATCTGGACTTTTCTCCCCATTTATACTTTGCTTTTTTGTAATATCACCTCTTGTGAATGTGTCATAATTTGTACCACATTGATAATTTTATTATTTTTAATTTCTAGGGGCCCTTTAAATAAGATCTGGGTTTAGACATAGCAAAGCAAGTAGGAAATGAACTAAGAATTTGCTAAGAAAAATCACTGTTACATTTAGGTCCATGAAAACATACACATGTATAAGCCTAATCCTATGCTAGCTATGAATAGACAGTAAGCTATAATATTTCTCATGAATGATAACAATTTTTAAATTCCCAGCATTAAGATCTTAGCATGTGTATATATTTATAAAAACTGAATCATATGTTTCTTCTATGGCTTGCTATGTTTTATCTCATCCAGCAATAGGATGTTCTCCAAAACATTAACTAACCTTCTAGCCTAATGACTAAATTTGTTTTTGTGTGTGTGTGTGTGTGTGTGTGTGTGTGTGTATGCTTGTATGTATGTAGGGTTTTTTCCCCAACCTGATATACCTTATCTCAGACATTAAAAAAGAGAGAATATTTTATGATGGAGGACATTGTCTATCAGTTCTTTGCCTCTGTGTCTCTTAGCCTGAGCATTTATTGCTTGATCATCTATTCCATTATGCTTTCTAGATTACCAACACAGGTTTTGTCATGAACTTGTATCCCTCTGTTCTTTTCATTTTATTTGCTCTTTTGTTTTATTTTTCTTTTCTTCCCCAGAGATCAAGCTTGTTCTAAAATTATTCCATACAGCACTTTGTTTAACCCAGAGGCAAAGAAACTGATTAAAATTCATAAATAAATTCTGCACAACTGTGTGCTTGGATATCTAACTCAGCCTTCCAGTATTTTGAAGAAATTTTGAGTGACTTAACTTTTGTTACTTTTGTTTTAATTCTGTAGATTGTCATCAGACAATAATAGAGTGAAAGAGAAAGATGTGAATGCCACTTCTAACTTTTTGATAACACTTTTTGAGCATTTTTCAAAATTTGTATGATTGTGGAAATGATAAACAATTATTCACTTTTACATCTTTGGAATCATTTTATGCACATTTGCCAACTGGTACTTGTCTTCAAATTTGGAATACTCTCATTCACAAAAAGGAGAATTAATGAGTAATATTTAGTATACTATGATGTCCAGTCTTAAATAAGTATAACATTTTGAGTTAAAAAATGAATAGTTCTGGGTGAAGAGTTGGGACTTTTGATGTTTAAAGTCCATATTTTTAAAAATTCTATCCCCATCCCCAACATTTTTGTGGTACATGAGGCTAACGCTTTACTAAAAATAGAATATTCTGAGATTTAAGGCCTGTTTTGAAAATAGATGTGAAAATATTTTCATGTTTTTTATATTTTAGCAATTTCTTTACCAAGTTTTGATTATCGAATTTACCAAGTTTTGGTAATCCAATATAAAGTTAAATTTCTTTCATGGTGCTGTATTTTTGTGGAATATTAATAGCACTCAGGTTTCTTGATATTTATTTCCTATATAGCCTTATCCTTAATTATTTCCTTTTTTGTCTTTCCTCTCCTGATTGCTTTTATCCACACTTATCTGCAATAAAGACTGCACCTAAATTAGCATATTCCAGCAAGACTGGAATTTTTTTGATTAATGGGAGAAGTGCAGTAGAACGGCCTTGCAGTTTAGAAATAAGGTGGGGTTTTTTATGTGTATGCCCATTTGTTATTTTACCATCTTTAACTGAATCTATTATTTGATACTTTGACATAGAGAAGCATGATAAGTATTTTCTAGAAAGCTAAAATTATTGATAACATATAGAAATTGCCATTGTTAATTGGCTTAAAATCACATACAAATTATTTACAAACCCAGTTGGGAAATGTGTTTTTACATGTCACCAAATACATATTAGGCAGTACTACAAATGTTAATTCTTTAAATAATACTGTGGTGATGGCAATCAGTAATTTATTTCTTTGTCCTGTAACTTATCATTCTTGTCTTTTGTAATCCTTTACACAGTATTAACAAAACTGTACTTTGTTTGTTCTTAGTATCCATAAATTTAAAGATGGAAAATCATTCAGTTAATAGTCAATGTGATATTGTATATGGGCAAAATGTCCATTAAACTAAAATTTAGTTTTAAGAAAACAAGGTAAACTAAACTGGCTTGGTTTATAAAAGATGTTTTGTTTGGCAGTTGTCAGTCATTATTAAGCAATTACCTTCAAAGACAAAAATCGATTAATTTGTTGCCATTCTTTATGGGATGTTTACAATAAAATTCCAAGTTGTTTGGAATCAATTGCACTCTTGCTGCTTTATGCCTTAACTCATGTACCAGAGATAAATTAACAAGAAGAAAGAAATATGGAGTTACCTTTCTATTATCCTGCTTTAGAGATTATAACATGTAACTCTTCAGTCTTTCCTTTCTTGTTTCTTTGTCATAGAATATTTTATTATTATGTTTTTTATCTAAACAACTGGGGTGATTTCTATACAAGAAAAGAGTTTTCCCTTAATCATAGCAAATATACTTTTGGTGACTTTAAGGTAATATATGTGATACACTTTAAATGTGGGCTGCCTGGTGCCTTAAGTAACAGCCTGCAGATCTCTAGTCAATTTTGTTTAATAGAACTTTTTGAAGTGAATAGATTTCTAACATATTTATGGTTTATATGTTTATAAATTTTAACAGTTGAGCTATGAATCCCTGGCATTTTTTATGGTCAAATTTCCTGCAAAGCTTAACTATATTACAAAAGGTGCTTTAATTACATGTAAGTGCAGTAGGAACAGAAGTCAGGTGAGACATGCTCAGGATCTGAGTGCCCTAACAGGAACATTTATCCAAAGTCTGAATTTATACATTATGAACACTCTTTCTCCCAAAGTCAAGAATTCTACCAGGTTCAAGATAAGCTGCCTAAAGACTGGACTGTATTTTGATACTATTCTATTGTGTGCTTAGATTCAATAAATAAGGTATTTATAAAATTATCACCTTTATCTTCTGGTATCAGATCCAATGGCTATCACACTAGCCAGATTTTTCACAATATTTAGAGATTAAGGTGGGAATAAATTGGTATTTTGTTTAGTTGCTTGGTTGGCTAAAGGTAGCCCCTCTTTTAAGATGTATAATTTATATTAAAAACTCTTTGTTCACAGGCTTTCATGTTTTCTTACCCTCTAGATTTTTTTAAGTAGAAAAGTTAAAGGTATTTTTATGACAAAAGCAGTATTCAGAAGATCCATTTTTTCCTAGTTGAGAAGTTCAAGAAAAAAGTGCTCTTTTCCCTTTCACTCAATTATTTGCATCTATTTAAAAAATACATTCCAAACATGCATGAAATAAATTGATGCTAATATATTAAGCCTGCTATTTGATTTTTTAAAAATGAGCTTTTAAGGTATATTTTAAGCCCATATACTTAATTTTCTTTCTCAGTTGTTTTTAATGCTGCATAATGCTGATAGACCAAATATAATATTAAGTAAAATGAAGTTTTTATGGTGTTAATTTTTTTCCTGAAGTTTTGGAGAAAAATGTTTCTTTTTCTTGCACTTCTTTGTAACTCTAATAGCTTTTCCTTTGCCAGCTCTGGCAATAACTTTAATAAACTTGGTTCTCACCTTCAGATTACAAATATCTAATAGATATTTAAGCAATGATTATTAACAGATTAATATTTAATTTGATATTGAAAACTTTTAAAACTTTCTTATCCTTTATTCATTTGTAAATTTTGAACTGCTAACTTGTCTTCTCAGTGTCCTTACGTCTTTTTTCAATTTGATAAGCTTTGTAGTAAATATATTAAGAAATAAAAACATGTCAAATTGCTTAATTTAGGTTATTCATATTAGTTGGTGAGGTTTATTTGTTCTTAGGACTGTTTTGTGGTTCACTTTTATTGCAATTCTAATTAAAAGTTGTATAGTAGCAGGTTTATTTATATTAGTAATTTTGTCTAATCTGTGAAATAATTTAAGGTAGTAAAACTATCTTACAGTGTTTCTTTTTCCCTTTAGCCTTTTACAAAAGCTTAGAATATCATGTTAAAATGAAAATTCCATCCCAGATTGTATAATGGCTGATTTTTAGGGGAATGTTTTGTTACCCTTGGGTATTGTTCATCTAAAATATTAATAATGAAGTAGTTAGTTCTGAATTCTTTCCTTAGGTTAAATTTTAATTTACAAATTAAGCCAGTCTCATGTATAAAAATGTGCATCGTTTCTAGTCTAACCCTGTAGATCAGAAAATATGCCCCTGACATTCCCATAGTCACTAAATTACCAAATTCTTTCCATTTTGGAGGTTGGCCATTTGTATTTTAAATGTGGTTTGTAGTTCTCACGGTAAAGAAAAGTAGTTACTAAGGCAAAACAATAGTTCAAACTTATGGTAGGTATGTTTTTGCTTTCCAATTGCTTCACAAATTTAAGACTGGTAATTACCACAAGTTTTCCACACTAAAAATACTAATCTTTTATTACTTTGATTATAATTATAAAAGTAGAAATTATCACAAGTCTGAAATGAGTTGAATTCTTTTTCTTGATTTGTATGGTGATCTCCTTCATTGAAGATTTTTACTTCAGGAGATTATAGTCTGTGTTCTATATTAGTGATAAGAAATGGTTAAAAGAAGACTAGAATGTTTATTCCCATACTCATTCATTTGTGTGTTCTTTATTCAACATTTACTGAGTACTTTCTATTTGCCAATAACTGTAATCATCTAAAGAGGTGGGTAGTTCACAAAGTTCATACCTCAACCATAGTTTCAGTTACCAGAATGACACTACCATTATTAGTCAACTCCTATGTTCAGATGAAAAAAATTGAGTTTCAGTAATATTAAATAATTTTCCTAATTCTATATGGTCATTAAATAGAATAGTCTCGATTCCTTCAGGTTTTTAATCTTAGCTTTTATACCTATTAATAGGTATTTGGTTCTATTTTCCTCCTTTCCAATTTCTATGAAACAGACTGGTAAGTCCTGCATGTGCATCCTAAAAATCATACTTTCCTTTGTTTCTTGCTTAAATAATTTAATATAAGATGACTTTGTGGTATGAGTCTTCATGCTACTTACTAGTGGGAGATGGTAGAGACTATAGTTTTAAAGATTCTAGGTTGAAAGTAGAAAAAGTAATCAGCCTCTTAAAAGTGTGTGTTTTAACACACACTTGCACAAGAGTAAACATCCAAGAAAAGTATAGAGAATTTACTTTTATAGTGAGGAATAATTCTGCTGATAAACAACACAAGTATGCTTTACAGTGTGTGATACAAAGTGGATCAGTTAATTCTGTTCATACTATGTTCCATTTCAAGGGCAAAACCTAGAACATCTTTTTTCATCTGAGAGAAAATATGTTTCAAATACACTTCTCAATGAATACGCCAAAGTTCCTGACTTCATCCCTGGGTTTAATTTACAGTTTTGTTTTTGTTTGTTGTTTTGTACTGATAATTGAACCCAAGGGTTCCTGCATGAAAGACAGGTATTCTACCACTAAGCCACATTCCCAGCCGTTTTTACTTTTTTTTAAAAAAAAATTAGTAATAGATGGACACAATACCTTTGTTTTCTTTACTTTTTTATGGCTAAAGATTTATTTTTTTTATTATGGCTAAGGATTGAATGCAGTATCTCATACATGCTAGGCAAACACTCTTTACCACTGAGCTACAACCCCAGCATACCCTTCTATTTTTTGAGACAGTGTCTTAACAAGTTGATCAGGCTGGCCTAGAATTTTGGATCCTCCTATCCCAGTCTCTAGATAGGATAATAGACATGCATCATCCCTCGAGACTTGTGGGATCATTTCCCAACCTTCATCCCTGCCTCTGGTGCTGGGGATAGAACCCTGGGCCATATGCATATAATGTAAGCACTGTGCCTCTAAGCTACATTCTCAATCCTTTTTTCCATATTTAAAAAAATATATTTTTGAGTTGCTGATAGAACTATTTTATTTATATGCGGGGCTGAGAATGAACCCAGTGTCTCATACATGCTAGGCAAGAGCTCTACCACTGAGCTACAACCCCAGCCTCTCCCATATATTTTTGGTGCATTATAATTGTACATAATGACGGGAATTGTTACATATTTGTACATGCACAGAATTTTGTAATATAATTTTGGCCGATATCATTTCCATTTCCCCTCTTCCTTTTTTTCTTCCTCCTCTGGTTTGTGTACTCTACTCATCTCTCTTTGATTTTCATTAGATCCCTGTACCTGTCTTCTTTTTTCCTCTTCTAACTTCCACATATGAGAGGAAACATACAACCCCTTGATTTTGACTTAAGTTGCTTAACATAATGTTTTGATTTCCATCCATTTTCCTGAAAATATATAGTTTTAGTTTTCTTTATGGCTGAATAATTGTTTTATTTGAGATAGGGTCTCACTAAATTGGCTAGGCTGGCCTTAGGCTTGCAATCCCTCTGCAACAGCCTCCCAAGTAGCTAGAATTACAGGTGTGCACCAGAGAACCCTACTCCTTGGGATTGTGTATATGTGGAAACATATATGTTCTTTGAAATACTTCTGAATTTTGTTAATTATCTAATTTCACTCCATCTTTGCACTCATTTATTTTTTGATCCAAGATCCAAAAAAGACATTTACTATCTCAATTTTCGTATTCAATCCTATCGAATAATTTTAATGGCTTTTTTTTCTTATTTAAGATTGGGACAGGGTGGTGATTGGTAAGGCTTTGAATAGGCTTATAGATACACTACAGTTAACTCGAACCCTTGGTATATTATTATGGGAAAAATTCAAGTAATTAAAGTCAAAACATTCACTGTTTATTCTCAGGGTTTTGCAATGGATTTTAAAAGCCATTAGGTGTGCTGAACTTGAACTTGGTTCATGACATTTACATTGATCTCATTCATATTTCTTTTTTTTTCATTTCATTAAAAATATTGAGCGCCTAATAGGTTCCACACAGTATTCTATACCCTGGAGACACAGCAGCACAAAAGGAACACAAAAATCCCTGCCCTGCTGGAGCTTATTTTGAAATGGGAAAGACAGGACAATATACGTAAATGTGGAGCATGGTAGACCGTGATAAAGGCTCAAAGGAAATGGAGCAGGGAAGGTCATTGTGAGGACTTGGGCTTCTTTCCTGGGTAAGATGTGAGCCATGCAGAGTTCTGAGCAGAGGAGAGACATCGTCTGACTTTTTTTGAAAAGCAGCACTCTGGTCCAGTAAGCAGATTGCAGGGGCAGGAATAGAAGTAGTGACATCAGTCAGGAGGC